AACTGCAGAATTCAACTGCTGCGTGACTCCTGACCATTAAAAACAAGCAAATACTGTTCCACCTTTGATATTACCCTTAAAATAATATCTGAATTTAACTATGGCCATTGAAGTCAAAGTAACATAATCCAACATATTTACCATATTTGTTAAAAATATGGAAGTGACCAGAAGGAGACCATAGGTGTTTTTTGAACACTCTTTTCATTTATTTCAGAAGTCAATCAGGCTTTTCTTTGCAGCAGGCTTAAAAACAAAAGAAACACCTCTGCTAACTTCTGCAGCAATTCCATAAGCCTGTTTTGGCTCACACACAGCTTCAGTAGAGCCACATACTTATGCTTGGGGTAGGGGGTCAACAGAGAAATACCAGTATACAAAATGAAAGGTGCCCTGTCAAAAAATAACATAAGAGATAATCAATGCTCTTGAGCCCTCGTGTAATGCGATGAAGCAATGACAGCAGAATAGCAAAGTCCTAGGCTGCAACAAGTGAGGATTTGCTCACGTGCAACAGCCATAGGCACAGAAATTAAGGAAAGAAGCTGCTTATCCTTTGGAAAGCCTCAGGTAGGCAGGGATCTCCAACAAGATATCCCTGCCTCCACTGCCAACCCTTAAATGAGGTCTGGGAAGGGGTGGAGACAGGATCCACCCCTTCCAGTCATTCAGGTGCACTGCACGCACCTGAGCTGCCCTGGGTTGGCCCTGCCTTCCTACCAGGTGCTCTACCACTGCTTCAAGCTGTGATTTAGCATTTCCAATATACCTTGTAAATATGAAACCATGGAAACAAGGAGATCAGTGCACGAGCAACCTGACTCGACCTGCTGTAACCCGAACAGAAAAGAACAATTCTTCCCTGTCTGATTCACCTTACATTCTGTTTTAAGTTAGCAACATATATATATTTTACCAGATGATAAAGCAGAATTCGTCATTTCCATCAGAGAAAATAATACGAGGGCAAATCAAGTAACTCCAGAAAATATGGATAGTGGAATGCAAAGAACTGTCTTTACATTTGCCACAGAATGAAGGATTTAGATAAATGTGCACAGCAAATTACAGCTCAAAGCTTGTGGGATTCTTAGTGCGTGACCACAGTATACAGTAGGGAAGCCAGTAAAATGAAAATAAGCTTAAGCAACACAGATAAACATTTATCCTTTAGCATTCTTACCTGATAATTGCTTAATGGCACATTTCATTTTACTTTCAATGTAGTGAGTGATACCTAAACACTAAGAGAAAGCTTTAAAAATTGAGCGCTACAAATGCAAGTTATTGTTCCAACTGTTAGAGTTAAAAATTAAAAAAAAAAAAAAAAAAGAAGAAAACAAGCACCAAGTTCTGGTTTCAGAAAAAGGGCACAATAGGGGACAGTGCTCTTGAAACACATACAGGATAATACACTAGAAAATGAGTAGAGATTTTCTAAAATTTCCTTCATCAGTCCCTTTGGAAAAATACATGATTTCGAAATCTGACTTCCTAGCATCTAAGTATTTAGGTATCACACTTCTCAGTAGTGAGCAAACATTCAATTTAGCTTTAGTTAAGCTAAGCTAAGCTTGCCACCTGCTTGAGTAATTGGCATTTAAAATACAAACTCAACAGGAGCATTTGTAATAGTTTGTTTTACAGTACATTTCCTTTCCTCTCCCCACTAACAAATGAAAAATATCACAGGGATAAGTAGGGAATAGGAGCTATAGGCCAGTTAGAGCAAGAAAAATTTGCAGGTTAAATTTCATAATTGTAATACTCTGCAATCACAGAACTTTTTCATATTACCTGTTCCCTTCTGCAAACAATTTTTTCTTTTTTCTTTTTTTTTTAAATAACCATGATGTTTCTTAAGCTGTAAGAACAGATCCCAGTAATAAGCTGGTTCCATCAGTTCCTCCTTCAGTCCAGATCTTGCTCCCAGTTTGGTATCACCACTGGTATATTAGCAGTATGCATTCTCAATTGACATGCAGATGTATGACTGCATCACCATCTCATGCGAGATGATTGGCATCTTGCACAGGAATGATTATACACTGGAAAAGATTGGCCAGTGAACAGGAAAAAGGCACTAACCTGTAGCCCGCTGGCTTCTCAGTATGCTTGTTTGTAACAGCAAATAGCAGACCAAGCTTTGTTCTGTGCAGGTTTCGTATTAGATATCTCATTTGCAGTTTGCATCAGTGGATACAAGACAGCAAGTCTACATTTATGGATTAGAAGAGTAATGGCACATCTCACTGTACAACTACTGAGGAACTTTGTGCCTTCCATGCACACAAAATAGTTTCCTACTCAGTAAGGAATGATGATTAACGGCCTACTGATGTACAAGTATTTTAGAAAGCCATTAGAAGGGAGAAAAAGTGATCCAAGGATAAAAACCTCTGATTTCTAGGAACTATCACTGTTGCAACATTACACCATTCCAGTGATGAACACCCATTCTGATCAAATATTGTGCAAGGATGTCTGCATTTTTGTGATCTGTGTCCTAATAATTAACTATATAAAAGGAGGAAATTTTCTCTCGAAGATATAAATAATGAAAAATAAGTCCTTACGTATGAATTGCTTTGGTTTGTTGGTTTTTTTTTAAAACCACAAAACCTTATTTTTCCTTCCCACCATAATGGTAGAAGGATTAAAATATACTAACCCACAGTCAGAACTGAATGGAATCTTGCTGTATCTTCTTTTTCCCAAAATCCCAGAAATTGGATTTCACAAAACAAAAGCAATCAAAAGAAAAAAAAACACTCTGAAAAGCACAAACACATCTGCTCGGACAGCTAAGAGAGCAAAAGGAACATGAATACTGAGATTCTGAATAGCCTTCTAGTCTCACAGCTAGAGCAATGTAGGAGATGGTTTCACAGATACAGCCACAGCATTTAAGTAATACGTTAAACCCACCTAAATTTCAGATTAAGCAAGAAGATGCAATGCTTGATCTATACTCAAAAGACTATTACAAATGCAAATATATCCTGCAACCCCCCCCTCTGTCAATTACACTGAAGGAAATCAGGCACTGTGGATGACTTCAGAATAATAATAATCAGCAAGATAACATTCATCTGTGAAAGGCATTGCCCAGCGTCTTAATGAACCACTCCTATGCTAGAATATTGATTGTAAGAAAAGCTATGCATACACTAGAAACAATTTAATGAGGCAGAAACAGCAACAAAGGTTATTCCTTCTTTCTTTTTAACCTTGTTTCCCAAGAAACACGGCCCTTAGGGAGACTATCCCTTTCCAGCACAATTCCAATTTATATATACGTTACAGGCAGTGTATAGGATTTTTCTTGCTGCTATACCTATATCTTCAGGATGGCAGCTGTTGCCATCTGTTCTTCCAGTCTGGGGTAGAAACATCTCTCAGGTGATGAGAACATCATTTCCCCAGCTTTTCAGTCCCACCACCGATCCCTTTATTAGCCATTATTCTGGACCATCCCACCTCCTCCTCCCAGAAGCTCCCCCCTCTCCCCAGCCTATCTCAGACTGAAAACTATGCCGTAAGTACCCTACTACTCTTCATAACATCTTCTTGTCCTACTCCGTATTTCTTTTCATTCTCTACTTACAAAGTATTCCCACATCAGTGACACCCTTCTTTCCTCCAATCCAAGCCACATCTTGTTTCAACCAAGTTCCCCAGTATTCCTTTCAGCATCTGCTGCTCATTCTTTGTAACTTTTATTACACACCCTCTTGTCCTCCAGACACACTTACAGATTAGAGAATCTTTTAAAACCTTTCACCACTGCTGTCAATTTTGCTTTCTTGCCTGTGATCTGAGATACAACTATCATTTTTTCTAAAGGTAACACTTACAAGAAATCTCCATTACCTCACAATCACATCAAGCTGATAAGTAGTATAGGAAGTATAAAAATATTGCTCATAACTATCGTACAGAAAAGTATGAAGTTCCAGGAAGAAAAAATATTCTATATTTTTTATATTACAGAACAGCTGTAGGCAGAAGTAATTCCCAGCTGTGCACGGAAGCGACCATAGAAAAATAGCTCATATAAAAGAAATATGTCTTTATATTTTTAGAACACTTTTTTCCCTGTAATGTTGAAATACTGGCTGTAGATTTCTTTTTTTTTTTTTGTGCTTCCCCTTTTTTTGCTTCCCCTTTCCCTCCCTTCCCTCCCCCCCTCCACTGTTTAGCTGAATTTTTTCAGCAGAGAAATAACAAATCAAACATTTTCAAATAAATCAGACTTGGTGTTGCATTCACATGAAATTCTGAGCCAACAAAGGCAAGTTTCGTTGGCATAAGATGAGAGAGACTAGATACAGCCTAGGTCTCTGGAACCCAAACAGTGTGCCTTATCAATAGAATTTACTGCCACCTTTGCTGTAAATCAAACTCGGAGAATATGCTTACATGAGAGGTTTCTCATTAGAGAGCAAACATTTCAGGTTGAGGTCAACAGTGATAGCATAAAAAGCTGGTTAACAGTCTATTGCCACTGCACAGTGTGAGTTCTGGGCAAGGAGGCTGGGCTTCCCTGGGGATGGTGGCTGGTCTTCCAGCCTTCTGGAGGAGTGAACAACCACCTCTTCCTACAGCAAAGGTTCCATAAAAGCACAGGTGAAAATCCACTGGCTATGCTCAATACCACATTACAGCTTCCTGTAACTTAGAAAGTTGTTTGAGTAAACACTGCCATCATTTTTTTAAGTACTGACTTTAAGACAAAACAGGCTGATCTTAAAAAGAAGGATTAATTGGATTAGCAAATATTTATTGATCGTTTGACTTGGAACCACATTTTCACAGCCTTTTGAATCTCTGGGAGCAGAACAAAACATGATTCTGCTCTGTACACCTGCTGAACCAGCACTCTCACATGAAACATGTCATTATCAGAGCTACCAACGTAGCTTCAAATTGAGACAATAACCAGCAAGGATATGCAAGAAAGAAAGAGATCGACCTATAAAAACCCTACACAAATTATCTGCAGTTAGTATCAGTTGGTCTCTCTGTACATCAAGGATAGAAGAGGGACTGTCAACATCTGAAAGATGCTGACTTACAATGCAAGGAGCTATTTTCTCTTCCTGGCAAATTTCTGTTCTTTCTCCTTCCTTGGTCTGAAGCATTAGAATGGCACATTCTGTTTATGAGAAGCTTTTGGAAAATGATATCAGTACTGCTGTCTGCAAACAACACTTAACTGCACTTAACTGCAGGCTCTCTGTTTTAAATTTACAAGGAATTCCAGCAACCTACTGCTATCCACATATAGCCTTCTAACCTGACCTTGAGGTAAAATTTCAAAGCAGGGAAAAGGAGAAAGTAACAAAAAACCCTTTCACAATTTCCATCTATGAAGTGTTAGTTTACATTTAGATTTTAAATATACTAAGTTTAAGACTCTTGCAAAAGAATTCCAATCGATGTGTTTCTGAAATACAATTAAAGTCTGAAAAGCTATCGTGGAACAAAAGTTTATTTTCCTCTTCAGCTGATAACTACTTAAGAGATAAAAACAAGTATTCTAGACTTCTGGGCTGCTCAGCTGTGGAAGAGATATGATTGTAGTCACATGAAAACCTTCCCCTCTTGCAGCGTCTCCAAGGAATTTCTCATGGGACATATAATGAACCTTTAATTTCCAGGGAAAAAAGTCAAACATCCCAAAATTTCTGAAAGCCAAAGCTTCGGCTCTGAAATGTGTATGGAAGTACAGGAAAGGGAAGGGAAATAATTTGCAAATTTCTGCTTTGTGTCAGTTCTCAGAAGTAAGAAGGTGAAGTGCATTGCTATACTTTATACTTTACTCAAGCAAAGAGAACGATGCAAAAAGTGCAAGTGAGGAACAAATGGGCAAACCTGCAAAGTCATACCATTTTGCACCTAAGGAGAAATTTTAATCCTAAAAAAACATTTCAGCAAACAGAGCACTTTGCTCTACCCTTACATCAATGACAGAAGGCTGGGGAATGGACAGTGCAGAATTAGTGGCCAGTCACAGCATGCTGCAGAATGCACACGTCAAGCTTCTTTATGCTGTAGCAGTGATTCTCACTGCACTTCTTCCCCAGCTCATACACGTAACAAAAAGGGAGTTCAAAGAATAGGTTATAAAAATGTGTGTTGATGCCATTCTCCCATCTCACGTAATTTTTTTTTTAATTTATTTCTCTAACTATTCATATTTCTAGACTGCATTTTCTACCATGCCACCATATTTTCAAGTTTCCTGTCCCTGATTCTCAAGCCTCCCACTCTGGATTGAAGAGGAAAAGCACGTCTTCGCACTGCTGAAACACACTGCCAAGCAGCAGGATGCTTGCATGGAGTCGTAATTATGGGCAAATTCAGTGTACATACAGGCACTGCAAGTATCTGCACTCTTAGAGGAAGGATGTAACAGTGTCACCACAGAAAGGCACATGGGGATGCACCAAAAGACTTTGGAAGTATTTGAAATTCATTCGAGTCCTCCCACATTACGTGAGTTATCAATTAACTAATAAACCATTGTATTCCAGAGCTTGAAAGGTCAGGTCCAGTAAAATGGAGGACAGACACTGAGTAGCAGAAGATCCAAGGTAATAGCAGCATTAATTCCTTCACAATAAACAGCTTTATCAGCTTTTTCATCAGTCTCTCTCCTAGATAAATGTAGACGATGAAAAGCAAATCAAACATAGAATATTTAAATCAGCGCTTTAACTACATTATTAATGGCTTATTTAAAACAAACACCTATTCTGATGAGAGAAAATACCATGATTTTGAAAACCTGCCTTACCCTACTTGATTACTCCATTTAATAGAAAGTTGAACAATACACTGTATAAAATCCATTTGTCTTAATATTTTTACATGAAAAACAATCTCGTGTTACAGTGCAATAGGATCCTGCTGACCACACTTCAAGGAACAAAACAGTTATACAGTAGTTTCAGTTAAAAGTCAATTTTTACAACATAAAGAATTATGAAATATCAAAGTAACTTTTACAGTACGCTGTTAACACAAGTAGTAAAATGCTGGCCAGAAAAAAGTTTGTTGAAAATGCAAGAAGATTATTAATCTTCTGTTCTATTTAAAGCAGTTGGATGTGGTGAAACTGGGAGGTAATAGGTGTAAATGTCAACACTTCGGAATGACTTTAAAATAAAGTTTCTGCTAAAAGCCCCACTAATCATAGGAGATACACCAGCAAATTCACTTCATGCAGAGGTCATTTCATTTTATCACTGCAGTATACAGAATGAATACTGTAGTGCAACAAGCAATATCAGTGTTTCTTCTTAAACAAACTGTTTTGTTGGGTTTGCCCCTGGCTTTTTGTTGTTGGTTTTTTTGCTTGGTTGGTTTTTGCATGTATGAATAAGCTTTGTAAGAGGGCTCTTGCCAACATAACCAATATTTCAGAGGGAAAGGAAATTGCATTCTTAATGATGTTCCATCAGAGAAATTTCCATCGAGTGCAAAGCAGACTGGGAAGTCAATCAAAGGTCAAGCCTCTGAGAGGCCAAGTTCATTGAACGAACACAGTTCTGATGTTTAATTGTTTTCAGGCAGAGCTCTGCAGGTAGGTCAGCGGTGAATTTTATAGCTGACAACACTCACGGAAAGAAATCACTCCCAAGGCTGAGGTGGTTATGCACTGCTGAACAACGAGATGAAAAAAATAAGTAACTCAGGAAAGCAAGGCGTTTTTGTCTCACCATTTAGAAATTTGTAAATTAAAAAAAAAAAAAACTACCTGTATCACTAATGCACCTCACTCTCAAAAGTCGCTGAAATGCACAACAAAAATAAAAGAGGCTGCACAACAAAAGAGATTCACAAGAGATTACAAGACAATGAAGAAGCGCTTGAAATAATATTGATGGTAATAGCAACCTAAAAGTTCAACTTATTTCCAATAGCTGAATGACTAGAAATTATCTTCCCTTTCAAAACAGTATATTACGGGACTGGACAAGGCATGTGGATTATAAAATAGCCCACGGTTGGTACTTAAACCCCATTCTTGACTCCAAAGCCCATAATACTTTATGACATTTCAAAGACGCCTAACAATCTTAAATGGATAAATTAATGCATATCAGAACAGAATACTCTTTGGAAAAAGTGGGATGCTCAGTGAAAAAGTGGGACGTTCAGTCACAATTTACCAGTGTACCTTTAAAAAGAAAAAGACGAATATGACAAGGGGAGTTCTTTCTGAAGATGGAATTCCAACCCAACTATACAGGAGGTTATATAATTGCTAAGAAAACTTAGGGCAGTGAGAAAGCAGGAATCAATTACAGAGAATTATAACATCGATAATCATCTGTAGAATATGCGGGACCATGCAGGCACCTTCACACAGTGTCCTCCTTTCACGTGGAAAGTGAAAAACTGAGAAAGGAGAAAACTTATTTTCTAAGCCTGAAACAAAGTACTCATTCCATTCACTTGCTCCTGAGCAAGTAATTGACTTGTACTGCTCTTGTAGATTAAAAAAAAAGAGATAAGAAAATAACACATTATGAATAAATTAGCAACAGCCCTCAGAAAGTGCTGATGAAGAATCCCTTCCTTCCTCCATTTTCATAATTACAGGATATACATCACATTAATAATTTTGAATTTTGAGAACTCCCAACCCGCAGCACCACAGCCCTAGCTCGCACTCACAAGGTAATGTATTTGCATTCAGATTGCCACCTGTGTACCTTTATTACTTAATAAAGAAGGTCAAAAATAATCAAATATGCAAACCAGCTCCTTTCCAAAATACTGAAGTCTCAATTAAGCATGAGTACCTGATACGTTTCCTTCCTGTTATACAATTGTGGAAAGAATATAATTTCACCAGCACACCGCTCTAGCAGTCTTAAAAAGAGATACAAGCTTTCCATGCAAGACCGTAGCTGAAAACAGAAGAAAAATATAATGCAGCAAAGATTTTATTTTCGAGTAAAACAATATTATTTATAGACATGCATAAGTGTTGTACCATTGCACCAGTAAAATGAGTCCCTTGGTTGCTCTCGATGACTTGAGGTGTCTCGTAGGCAGCCATCAACTTGGTGAGTGCCTTGATGGTATATGCCTGGTTTGCTTTCGGTACTAGATAGGCCTGCAGTAGCCCACTTTCAGTATCAATGCAGGTCAAGGCATATCTCACCCCCTCAGACCAAGGGAGGGGCCCAAAGTAATCAACCTGTCATTAGCGGAGAAAACTGTGTCCTCTAGCAAGGTGGGCTGTTGTTCCAGTCAATGATCCGTCTATCTTGGAGCAAGCATGGCAGTCTCAGCAAACCTGGATGATATCAGATAGTTGCATGGGCAGCCCCCATGCTTTAACAGCTGCCCACATTGTCTACTGTCCAGCATGCTGCAGCTTCTGATGTAACCAACGGGTGATGTTCTCAAATGGTGAATTCTCAATGCATTGAACTCAGGCCAGTGTGTCGGCTCTGTCATTTCCCAGTGCCTGTAGGGGCTTGTGACCAGAAACATGGTAGACACATATAGTCCTGTGTTTGACTGTATTCCATGTGTCTAACCACAAATCTCTGCTTGGCATGCATAGTCCACTCCTGGGTGGCCCACTGTTCAATCCAAATAGTGAGCCCAAAGTACACAGCCCAACTATCTGTGCAGATATTCAGAATACCATCACTGGGTTCCTTGGTTATAACCATCCACACAGCTCGCAGTTCTGCCCATTGGCTGCTCTGACCATCCCCCTCATCAAACCAGACAGTTTCAGTGGAGGGATGGTATGCTACTGCTCTCCACTTGCTCAGGTTGCCCTTGCTGGACCCATCCATGTACCAGGCATCTTCAAAAATGGGATATTTCCCATCTTGAAAGGGACTCTTCTCTGGTGGAGTGACCAACGTTCCTTTTGGTACAGCACTGTGATACATCACTGGGCCTAGGATCTTCTTTCAGTGGTGATGAAGACAGACTATTCCTTTGACTGAGATAGGTGATCCATTGTGCCACCATTCGTGCTTGGGCCACCCCTGCTCTAGGAAGCTGGGTCAGATCTTTCATCCACCCCTGAATCAGCAGGGTGGTCTTAACTTTGACCTCCCATCTGGAGACCCTAGTTACAGGGGGACTGGCATTCACTGTCACGCAAGCAACTGTGCAATTCCCAATTCTTTTTCCTCAGATGGCTCAGGCGTAGAGGCCTGGGTCACTTGAGGAGGCTTTTTCCTCTTACTAGGAAATAGAAAATCTTCCAAGTTCCATGTTGCCGTTGGTAGTTTGTCAACAGTTCTCACCCCAGGTTTTTTGGGGTAATTTTGAAATTTTTGATTGTTCTTCAACTACCTCCATAGCTGCAAGAGGACACGATTGACCAATTTCCACACATTGAACCTCAGCTTGGATTAAGTCATTAAACATGTAGCAATTGGGTAGATCAATATGATTGGAGGATCAGCACAATAGAAAGGTGCTATAAAGTATGGGAAGAAGACTGCTCACCCATATCAAAGATTCCAGGTTTGCAGGGGAAAGCTCCAGGGAGGGATCTCCAGAAAGAGATCCTTTCCTAATGGCAGTCAGCCCTTAAAATGAGGTCTAAGAGAGGTGCAGCCAGCTTCCACCCTTTCTGATCACACAGGTAAATTGCCTTCACCTGAGCTCCCAGGGCTGACTGGGTCCTTTCCTCAGGTGCGCAATCAGTGGTTCAGGCCATGACTTAACACTTCCCATGCCAGGAAAAAAAAAGATCAATACTGAAATATGAATTCTGAAGTCAACAATATTCGACTACGTGCACTCTGTCCAGAAGATCTAGAAGTAAGGCAAATTCAAAGAAACAAATGAAGAAAACATTGGTTCCCTGTGTTATTAACAGCTGGCCAAGGTCCCTGATGAAATCACACAGTTCTAATAGTTTAGAACTGTATAAAAATGCATTTGCGGGAGCTGGATTTGCAGGTTGAGAATCTGCGTTCTTTTTGTCATGGAGATAACCAACTTTGCCAAACATTTCTAAAAGCATCTGACTTCACCCCTTTTAAATAACAGGAAATATTTATATACATGAAAATAATGTCCTGCCATGTTTTAAGAACAACTGGAAGAGAAAAAAATATATATCTATAACATATATATATATATATTTTATAAACTTTCCTGCTCCTCCAAACCAAGCAAAAATTCATTCTCCCACAAAGCAGATTCACGGGGGAGATATTTCACTGTACAGAAGTACAACACTTAATCCATTATTTTTCTTCCTCCCCTGGTGTTAGCAGTAACACTTCGGGAGTACACTTTTAGGAAAATACTTGTTTATTAAAAAAAAAAAACAACCTCCAACTTTGTTTTAACGCTCAGCATCTGTTGTTTTGGGAAATTCTGTACAAAGCCACATGATATTATGCAGAACCACAAATGAAATTAACCAAGGGATGGCTTGATGTGAAATGCGTGATTAGAAAGCATGCTAATTCAACACCAATAACTAATAATGATTGATGTAAATGGAGTAAACAAGAGGAAAGTTGAAAACTTAAGTTAAGCCATCAAGCTTAAGGCAATTCATTAACTTTGTTTTTATTTTTTAAATTGGATACTTGGTTTTTATTTTCATTCTTTTAATTCTAAAGCATTTTCAGCAAGAAGGCAAAGTTTTAAGCAGATGTCATATTTATAACCTAGAGCTCCTGATACTTTGCTAACTAACAACTACTGCACAGACCAAACAAACCAATATTATGAATGAATACTATTCTTCATGGTTCACTGTTTCCAGCTGGGATGGAGTTAATTTCCTTTATAGTTGTCTATACAGCACTGCATTTTGAAACTGGTAACACACCAGTGTTTTGTCCATAGCATGACTACTTGCACAGCATACTACTTTTCTTTTTCTCTTCCCTGCTTCCCTCAAAGAGTAAGCTGAAGGTGTGCCAGAAACCAATTCAGGGGATATTCCATACCAAATGGCATTACGCTCAGCTACACAAGATCATGGAAAGGAGGAAGAACATTTGTGGTTTTCATCTTTTCAAGTAACCATTACACATGCTGAAATCCTTCTTTCCAGGAAGTGGCTAAACATCTGCCCAGAAATGACAAAGTGAATAAATTCCTTTATTCACTTTATTTTGCTTGTACACATAACTTTGCTTAATTTATTGAACTTGTTTAAAAGATGAAGATCTTGACCTATGAGTTTTCAGCTTTCTTATTCTCTCTCCCATCTCACTTTGGAAGGAGCTAGCAAGTAACTGTGTGGGTTCTGAGCTGCTAGCAAGAGGGAACCCTCCAAACATGACCATGCTCAAACACAACTGCTTTTGCAATTACACTCCATAGTTCTTTTTACTTTGGGGAATTTGGAATAAAGACGACAGATTTTGACATTTTATTCCACCTTGTCTAATATAGCATTTTTAAGGGCACAGATGATCCAATTTAGAATCAAAAAATGACGTCACATTCATAATTCAAGAACTTCTATTTATGAAGAACTGCAGGCAAATAAACGTAGGTAGACTACAAATTACAAAATTAGATTCAAGACTGCCGAGCTACAATCTAAAGCTTGTATTTTGTGCATGAAGAATACTATACAAATTAATAAAGTATTACTAATATGTGTAAAAATGTTAGGGGAACTACCCTTACTGACTGCCTTATACTCTTGTCATACAAACTATTCCTCAAAGACAAATTCTTCTCCAGCGTACATGTATTTGGACAACGTCTAGTTCAACAGCATGGATGTTGTCCATGGTTTGGACAGGTACGCCCTCTGCTGAGCTAGCCGGATGGCCAGGCCCAGAGAATGATGGTGAATGGAGTTCTATCCAGCTGGCATCTGGCCCTGTGAGGTCTTCCTCAGGGGTCTGTATTGAAGCCTATCCTGTCTAATAAATGTATTGATGACCTGGATGAAGGTACTGAGTGCACCCTCAGTAAGTTTGCAGATGACATCAAGTTAGGATGAAGTGTCGATCTGTCTGGCAGTAGGAAGGCCCTACAGAGGGATCTGCACAGGCTGGATAGCTGGGCTGAGGCCAATTTTATGAGCTTTAACAAGACAAGACCAAGTGCCTGGTCCAGCACAAGTCTTATGAGGAGGAGCTGAGGGAACTGGGATTGTTTAGTTGGGAGAAGAGGAGGCTCATGCGAGACCTTACTGCTCCCTACAACTACCTGAAAGGAGACTGGCAAGGTGGGGGTTGGCTATTTTCCCACATAACTACCGACAGGAAGAAAGGTAATGGACTAAATGGACTTAAATTGAGCCAGGAAAGGTTCACATTAGATAGTAGGAAATATTTCTTCTCAGAAAGAGTGGTAATAGTTTTAAATGTGCTGCCCAGGAAAGTGGTGGGTCACCATCCCTGGATATTTTCAAGAAAATGGTAGATGCAGAACTTAAGGACATGATTTGGTAGGCATAGCAGTGATGGAATGACAGTTGGACAAGATAATCTTAACCTTCTTTTCCAATCTGAATGATTCTATTATATTTTTCTACATTAGCAATTACATGCAAGCATACCATGAATTAAATTTCCAAATTAACCAACATGGCCATGGGCATGATTCTGCAGAAAGAACTCATTTTGTCAATTTTCTTTGCAGTAAGAGACTGAAATTCTAGGAAACAACAAATTCTCAGTTACCTATCCACACAAGATTACTTTATAATGTGCAAGTGAATCAAAATAATATAGATTCTGACAGTTCAGAAGCAAGGGCAAAGAGCTTTAAAAGTATTTCAGTCCTAGGTATATAAACAATCTGTTTGTTTTCTCTGTTATTGCAGGGAAGGACACAACTTCCTGCTTGGATGCCACACCAGCATGAAAATCATGTTTTGTTTGTATCAGAACACTTCACACTAAAGACTACATGCATAAAATACAGTGATCATACTTTATATGTAAATTAAATGCTCACACAACCAGAGTGTTATAAAAGTAGTCAGTAAAAAGGTACTGTTCCCAATTAATTCATAGACATTGTTTATATATATAAAATGTGTATATAAATAAAAAATGTGTATTTGCCATCACAACAACAAATGAACACATTTGTTTTCTAGTGGAAGCTGAGAAAGTCTGAGGGAATTCTCTAACATAAATAGTAGTCTCCCTGAATGAATATAACACTGAAAAGTCATTTTACGTCTCAGAGCTACCTGGAGAGAAAGGCTGGGACAATACTTTTTCATTTTAGCTTGATCTGATAAATAAAGCCTACATTCAACTGAAGAAGGAATGAGCTTCCACAATTCAGGTAACTATGTCATACACCCCTTAAGGCTAACCTCTTGCAAAAACAGTAACAGCAACTGGGCTTTCTGGAGGTGCTTATTCTTCCCCTTTTTCTTTTTATTACTTTTTATACCATTCCTAGCAGATCATGAAATTTGATTCCAAGAGCAATACACACTGGAACTACTCTGGAGAACATAAGGTTTAAAACAGGTTCAATCAGGTGAGGTTCTCCACTCGAGTTCTGAGTATCTTCAAAGATGAAGATTGCACAAACTCCCTGGATAACCAGCTTTAGTGTCTAACCATCCTCAATATGAAACTTTTCCCCTGTATTAATTTTCATTTAACCTGCTTTATCATGGATATGATCCTTCTTGTCCTATCACTGTGCACCTACTGGAAGAGTTTTGTCTTACTATAGCTAAGCATCAGTTTGGAGACCTGAAACTTTGCAGAAGATAATTCTAGCGTTCCAGTTGATGAGCTGAATGCATGAAATCAGACAGCAGTAAGATCCTCCCATGGTTTTATCCTCAGGCTAAACAAACCCAACTTTCAGCCACTCCTTGCAATACAACACATTCTAGTATCCTGACATTATTTTCTCTGGAGCCATTCTTGTATATCAATGTGTTTCTTGTACTGGGGAGCCAGAACTGAACAGTATTTCAGGGGCAACTCACACATGCCAAATAGAAGAGAATAATTACTTCCTTCAACCAGATTTTAATGCCCTTGCTCTTACAGTCCAATACATAAGTTGGCATCCTTTACTGAGACACACTGATTTCATGCATTCAGCTCATCAACTGGAACACTAGAATTATCTTCTGCAAAGTTTCAGGTCTCCAAACTGCACTCTTATACTCTGTTATCAAACTTGGCTTCCCTGTAGGTGTTTGTGTGAACACCTGGGCTACAATTACTCACACCTGAGCATATTGCTGCTCATCTTCATGGCAAAACAAGAAAGTTGTCCATTGCCCTACTGTCACACAAAATGGAAACATAAAAGGCCAACTGAACCTTTCAATCACACAGAGAAAAACTAGGATTTTCACCCATGGATGAGACAGTCGTAATAGAAGGCTAGGTAATTGCATACCATCTCATAAATCCTGGAATTTGCTGGTAGGCATCTGTGGGAAGACTGCTACAGACCAACTCTCAAATACTGTAAGATTACAGCAACTTGACTGGTACAGACTTGGCACTGTCAGCTCACAGCCAGGATATAAAGTAAGTAGCACTTGTTGTGTTTATGTTTGTCTTATTGTTTATTTTGTTATTTATTTTATTTTTCACGTTCTATCATTTACTTCCCTTTTTCATTCTTTCTGCCCTTTGACAGATGTGCAGAAAGTGATATTTCTCACTTCTCCTTTGGCTTGAAAATACTATGTTCGTTAATGCTAATAAGCTTCTGGCCACCAAGTCAAATCAGGCCACTCTGTGGAGGGGGCAGAACTGGAAGAAGCACTTGGCTATAAGCAGAGACACCAAATTTGTTTCATTCACTTTGCAATGACATATATTGTACTGGAAATTTTATTTTAGAAATTAAATAGAAACCACAGAGTTTAATATCATAATGTCCTGATATACTAGCTAGATAGAATAACTAGACAGGAGTACAACAATCAGACAATTTGGTACCAAAACCAAATGCCTAATTCTCCATTTCTTTTTCCTGTGTCCATACAAACAATGAGAGTGAAACGATACCATTGTGGTAGCACACATGACAAATCTGTCACACGTCCCAAGGAGATTGTACTGAGATGTTTCAGTCTTCCTGAAACTGATTTGTAGCATTCAAATACAACTTTGTGACCAGAACTGAACTTCACTGTAAAGACCCTGTAGAATGATCCCAAGACATTTACCAGAATGATCTATGGAACACATCAACCATTCAAAGACAGCAGAACAGCCACATGGTGCTGACTCCCAGTTCTTAATTCCTCTTCCAGTAATGCATCTTAAAAGGAAAAGTGTCACTTCATCAAATTCCCATTTTGCCTAGGTATATAAGACATTCCAGGAGAAAATTCAACAATACACAATATTTTTATAAATGAATATACTGCATGCAGTTCACACAACAAAGTACCCATATAATACCAGTTGTTTCAGAATCTGCTTTATCTAACGTTTTCCTATATCCTTGAAGTATAATCATACTTCAAGGAAGTTAAATACTAATAATCAGTATGGCTTTCTTGCCACTTTCAACTTCCATTAGCTTGCTTATCTATATCAGTATACATTTCTACTTCCAACAGGCAAGAAAATTTAATGAAATTACAGTAGTGTTTTTAAGGCAGTCATTTACAGGTGTTGATTTAATAAAAAGAATCCATTTTGAGAACTGCAGCACTGAAGAGATAATGCAGAACATTTATTTCTGCAGATACTGCAGTACTGCCAGCCTGGCTCAGCTGGTAGCCCTTATGGAATGAGGTACAGACAGTAATAAAGCTGTGTGTACAGGTTTTCTAACTGAAGAACAAGACAGGAAAGAAGGGAAATAAGGAATAGAATCACAGAATTGTAGGGGCTGGAAGGGACCTCGAGAGACCACCGAGTCCAGGCTCCCTGCAAAGCAGGCTCTCTACAGCAGGCAAATAATAGGGCATCATCTGAGACATGGCACTCCAGGCTGTTAAAACAGGAGAGCCTTCTGAGTCCTAACCCACACAGAACTCTGTGGCAAAAGGCAGCAGAAGGAAGTCACAATTCGTAGCACTTTGAACATGACTTGTTAAGAAGCGACAATTAAGATAAATCTTAGCATACTTACAGATAAGACCAAGGAAATGCAACTGGACCCAGCAACTTCTGTCAGTTCTTAGTCTGCACACACTTGCAGGTACGTCAGGCTCTTTCAGAATTAGTCCTACTTCTGAAAGGGGAGTCTTCGAAAAAGCTGAATTCTTCTCTGACTTGCTGCTCTGAACATCATATTTTCTCCTGGAAATAGATACAACACAGGCCTAGGATATGAAAAAAAACAAGGCAATTTTAGAAATTCAGATATATTAAGCTTCATACAATATTAGAAACCCCACCACATAGCTGATCACAGAAACAAAAAAACTGGAGATTTGGCTTCGCTGGCTTTTTTAAAAGCCCTGCTTGGTCACTCAAGAAAACAGAGACACTTCTGAAAAAATAAATACTTGCTTCATGGAGGTAGTGAACTTAAAAGTGATCAAACCAGAGCTTCTCACCTACTGTTTTTTTGTGCAATCATTACTTATTCTTTACCATAGAATTCCTATAATCAAGGTAGAAGTCACATCAGCCAGGAAGAGTTAACAATTTGATTATCAGTCTTGCTTAAACAGCTGGACTATAACAAATCCTTGAGAAAGTAGGTGTTTCCATCACTTATTACTCCCGACTTTAAGATGCGTTCTATCTGAAACATAAACACTGAGTCAAATGTGAATAGGTCTACAATGGAGTGTTTTGTAATGAATTTAAGGAAGGCTAACCAGACAAGCCAAAGGGGTGTGCAGCTCATCACTTACCAAGCTTTTGTGTTGGGGTAGTTCTATTCACACTTAAGAAAAACCTATTTACAGCAGCCCACATGCTGGCCTTTTTGTCTTCATATTTTGATTTGCATCAGAGGTTGGGGAAAAAAAAAAAAAACCTTCCTTTTCCAAGGTGATTAGAAAAACAAGTGAACAAAACGACAGACTGATGGGATGCTGTTTTAAGTAGTGAGGAAATTGTAGCAAACTACATACTTAGCTTTCAAGCAAGATGGCATTAAGCCTTAACCTCAACTTTGAGGTCCTAAAAAAAGCTTAATATCAATAAAAAGGACCATTTGTCTCAGCATCCCAATAAAACAGTGAAGGTCTCCATTTTTGCCTGTGTCACCTGGTATCTCTGGAGCACAGGAAGGCTGTCCCAGCCACTCAGTAGGGATGCAGGAGGCTGCCAAGAGTGCAGTCACCCCAGGCTACTGGAAAATGTAACAGGGACTTGCCATAGTTGCTATATTTTGGCTGGCCAGGCAAAAAAAAAAAGATATATCTCTTCTCTATGCATTTGGCTCCATAAAGAAAGGATTTTTAATGCATATAAGGGCACAATCTCACCTCATTCCACAGCTACGAGATAGATAGTGCATCCTTAAGGAAAAGTGCACCCATACACTTGGCTTTATTGGTAAGCATACTGCTTTGTGTTCCACCTACAACATGGGAAGGAGTCCATTGCTTACAGCTAAGGCACTCAAGTTGCAGACTCCAATGTAACATACTCTTCTTAATACTGTCCCCTGATAATCTAAGTTCAGCCTGGTAGCAAGGCTATACAACTCCTTTAGCCACTTCAAAGAGAAGCTCTGTTCAAATTAAATGGAAAGATGGGTTATGCATCTCTATTCTCTACCTACTAACCTGCCAACAAAGAGCACAGTCTGCTCCAGAGCTGTAAACAGCTAGCAGGATTCTTCACGAGACAGCTCAGAGAATATACTGACTGCTGAATACACTGACTTCATTAACACCTGTTCATAAATATCACAACCTGCCCCAGCAACAACCACACACAAAAAAAACCCAGTGCATTCCACCAGCAGAACATTAGCCTAGTGACACGCTGGTAACAAACATCCTGACAAAGCTAATGGGCTCAAAGCATGAGAAGCTAGAACTTATACAAGTGCTAAGTTCTATCTTGAAAATCCTGCACGTGAATATTTATTTTTTCAGACTATATGTTCCTTTAAGAATTACCTCAAGGTATTTATTTGTTTAAAAAATTACAGAGATATTCTTCATTTTAACTGAAACTTAAATGTAGATGTAAAGGATTTGACATGTAATCTAAAATTAAGCAGCAACTACTAATTCTAGCAAGTTGTGATCTCATACTCTGATTACTGACTTATGGCAGCAAATGCACCACAGGTGCTATGTGCATGGCTACACTGAAAAAACAGGCAAAAAATGAAATGTCAGATGCTTTTTGTAATGCAGAATGTACTTCAAACTGTTTTAAAAGATGACCTTTTCAATGACTGCCCTGCCTACTAGAAAGAAGGGCTTCACGTTTAATAAATTCTTCATGTCCCAAGGAAAAGCTGAGCTACAAGAAAGTTTTGCTCTTAAGAGAGTAACACCTGCCACAGTCAGGATTTTCAAGAGATTTTCTAGTTTTCTCTGGTCAGCTACACATGATAACCTATAATTTATAGAACAATAAATGCTATATTAATCATAACTGCTTTATAAGGTAACCTCTATGTTTCTACTTCCTGAGCAAATCAGAGCAGAAGTGCCATATCCTTATGGACCAAAACAAGGCAAACATCAAGCCTCAGACACTGGGAAGTATCCTTTTAGAACCAGGATTAAGTTTTGCTAACAGAGAAAGTGCAAAGTCAGTCGTCATTATGCTTCCATACATAATGATGTACAATATATACTTATATATCGTACATCAATATATAAGTACAATAAATACTTGAGGAATCGATGGAATTTTCTTTTTCCTGTGTGCAACAATTCCTGACATGCTCTAAATTTTTCAAAACAGTGTAATTTAATCATCTGGGAAACCCTACCTGCACAGCATTCATTTTACATCAGGACAATTCCACATTCACTTAGAAGGAACTCCTTCTGATTTACCCTACCTTCAGACACCACCAGGACCAAGCAGTAACTGTGGAACTCTATTTTTGTATACAAAGGAGCAGCTCAATAGAACAATCAATACTTATTTGGAAAAAAAATAATAGTAATTTAAGTGAAAAAAAAAGTATGAATCCAGAATGGACTTGGCTAACTGACAACTTATGTACACATAATTATTTTCCCTACAACATCTTATAGCTCCCAAATACGCTCAAATTCTGATTCACAGGATGATTACATCAATTTCAGTGGAGAGAAAATTATCTGAAGCATAAACCATTTTGTCCTCACTTTGACTCCAGATTTTTCATCAGCATAACAACTCCTAAATCCTCCTTATATGGCACATTCCCACTGCACTTTAAGTAGCAAATTCAGTTCCTGCAAGTGAATAGGAAATAATCCAACGTAATGAGCAAAAAATCTATGCAGGATAACCACATTTCTAAGTTGCACCTCTTTCTCCTTCTACTTGAATTCGGCAAGTCCTCCTGTCTTCTCATTAGACAAAGATGCTGATGTATTCAGGAAGGATACACCAGCAAATTAACTGGAGGATTTACAGAAATTTACCCAACTATATTCTGCAAAATAGCACTAACCAAGAGCGCTCTATCCTATAATTAAGCAGCCAGCCTTCTACATTCATATTTCACTCCACTGAAAAGACTGAAGAGAGAAGAGGAATAAGAGAAAAAAGTTGGAGACTTACTAGACTTTAGGACACACAACTGAAATAGAAAGCTATGCCTGAGAAGCAGAAGGAGGTCCTACAGTTATTTCACTGTTTGCAAAGGAAGACAGAATCACAGAATGGTTTGTGTTGGAAGGCCCTTTAAGATCACCTAATTCCAACCCCCTGCTGTAGGCAGGGACACCTCCCTTTAGACCAGGTTGCTCACAGCCCCATCCAGCCTGGCCTTGAACACTTCCAGATAACTAACAGGAAAATACTCTTAGCCTACCAACATATTTCTCAGAATCCAGCTAGGGCAACTCCTTACAGAAGTTATTGCTGCAAATACCAACACTGCCACGTGTACTTTTCTCTGCCGCTTATAAACTTCAAAGTCTAACTTAAAGCTGATAAAAGAGGGCTTCAGAATGCTAGCTGCAGCAACGCTGCTTTTTCACCTTCACATTGCCTTGAACAGGACCAGATTTTACCCCAAAACTACAATTTTCATTTGTTTAATTAAATATAATAACTGTTAACCTCTGCAACTGTATTTAGAGAGCAACACCACTGCTAGTCTTTAAATGAGTAGAAGCCTTAGACTTCTTCTGAAACTGTATTTCCCTACAAGCCTTTTCAAGACAAGGTGCTCAGCTCCACCTGCTGCTGGGTTTAGATTCTCTCTCCTTTAGCAGGCTGAGGTCTGCACAATACAAAGGGATTCATTTTCCATTCTTTAAACATCTTCTACTGACATAGAAGGCCAAAGTCCATGTAGACAACTATCAAAGTGCAGGGGACACATCTTCCCAACAGGTGCATCACCACTTGGTTGCCACATTTCACAACTGCACCCACCAGAGGCACCACCCACCCTTGGAAGACCGATCTTCAACTCAGAAGTCACTTTCTGTACTTTTTCCCAGTTTGCCATGATAATTACAAACACAGGCCAAAGAGCAACAAGAGTAATCTACCCATGAAAATTCACTACAAGGGGGGAGAAAAATAAAGGTAGTCTAATAAGTGTTAGTATGCTATCTAATTCTGTCATAGGTAAAAATCCTTCCACTAATTACACCGGTGTGAGCTATGGATCACTTTAAAAGTGGAAATTTTGCACCTACTGAGAAACAGGTTCTGTTAACACTGGAACACCTCCATTCAAAGCAAGTGTTTTTAAATGAATTTTGGGATTCCAAAACATACACATTATTGCTGCTTCTTTTAGCGTGCATTGGTAGAAATATTCATTAAATATTTCTAGCAAACAGCAAGAGCAGCAAAGACATACATAAAGTGATATTAAAATTAAGCATCTACCTATAGAATATTCAATAGAATTTCTGGAAAAAAAAAAATCTTTCAAAGTCAAAAAAGAAGAAAAAAAAAAGCACACAGATCACTTGCCTGGGGTGACCTCTGTATTTTCCTTTATCTTTATGAAGCTGGAGTAGATTTATACCGGAGTAATTCAGAACAGAGCAGGGACCGCCTGCCTGTTGATATGCTATAAATCTATATTTTAATGCGAGCCTGTTCTGGATACCTTTTGCATTGCTTATTTTTGTTTCTTTTCGAGGAACAGCACGGTTTGGTATTACCTTTCCAAAAGTCCTCTGCTGCCCTCACGTGTTTCACAGAAAAAGCAGATTTACATGACAAATACGAGCTCCTTTACCAGCAGGATAGACTGGAAGGAGCTGTTGGTGTATCATGAAGTATTGTTTTTTTTTTGTTTTTCACTTCCTCTGGCAGATCATAATTCCGATAACGTAATCTCAAAAAGTTTCCCACTGCTGTTTAACAGCAAAACCACACCGGGGGATGCACAGGCAAGCACTGAGTGAGCCATCAGGCACCTCCTCCAACAGCTTCCAGCGTAAAATAAGAAAGTTCTTGTTTGTTTGAAAGCCGTTTCCCAGCAGAGAGCAATCTCGGGTACCTGAAGCAGGAGCGGGGCACCTCGTTGCCTCAGAGCTAGGAGATAAACGCGACAGAACGCGCTCGCTCACACCTGAGCGAGGAAAAGCTGCAAAGAGCAGAAACACAGTCGATGAAGGACCAGCACGCGAGGAAAGCGACGGAGCACGTCCGCACAGCCGCACTCCTGCTTGCACATCACTGACCCCTTCGCATGCTAAGAGCTACAAACTGCGTTTCTGCTACCCCAAGAAACAGCTACGCTCTCTCTCCTAAAACTCTGCAGTCAGCCAGCCCGGCTCTAAGGGCCGGCAGCAGCAGCAGCCACCACGTCTCGCCCTTTCCTGCCTCGCAGCCCGACCCCGCCTCTCCCTGCAAGGAGCCGTGCCGAGCTGGGGACGCCTCTCGAGACCCCACCCGCTATGACTCGGCAGCCGGGGGCGGAGCGGGCAGGGAGCCGGCGGGGAGCGGGGCGCGGCCGTGCAGCCCGCGGTGATGATGGAGGTGCTGGCGTTGGGCTTGGCGTGCTGCCTGCTGCGAGCGGCCGACGCCGCGTTCCCGGTGCCCGCGGGCGCTGCGGGGCGTCGTCCGTGGGACGGAGGAGGACGGGAAGAAGAAGCGGCGGCGCTGCGGGTAGGTCGCTGCTGCGCTGCTCGCCGCTGTGCCTGCGGGTTCCTCCCTTCCCCGCTCCCGCCGCCAGGGGGCAGCATGACGGCAGTGGTCGGGTCCCTCTTGGGTATCGTGCTGCGTACGCGTTCTGTTAGTTCTGCGGCATGAAACAAGGCGAGGTTAAATCTTATCTAAGGATGAAATGTTTTCGTGCGTCTCCGTGTTGTGCTACCCGACAAGGGCGTCAGATGATTTTGGCATCACTTGTTGTCAGCTTATTTTGTTGGTCTTATATTGATTTTATACTGTCTGTGCGCTTGTAAGCGTCTCTTTGTGTCTTTCCTGAAGCTAAACTTAGTCTAATCACTTTCAGACTGGCTCGATAAGAGCCCAGGGTGAGCCTGAGCTGAATGTGAGCTGAGCGAGTTACCAAGGAGTTCTGGCCATAAATTGTGCCAGGGAGGGAGGCTCGGGGTAGATATTAGGAAAAACTACTCATAAAGAGCGGGGAGGCAGTGGCACAGGCTGCCAAGGGAGGTGGGGAGTCACCATCCCAGGAGGTGATCAAGAACAGCGTGGATGTGGCACTGACAGGTGTGGTTAGTGGGCATGGTGGGGCTGGCTTGGTGGGTGAATTGGGTGATCTTAGAAGTTTCTTCCAACTTGAGTGGTGCTCTGATTCTAAGGTCATGTTTCTTGTTGGTAACCTGCTCTTACAGTTTTGTTTGGTTTGTTTTTTTCAGTGCTGCTAATTTAATAACAACCACGGTGCTTTTGTTTTTATTCAGGAAAGCGCTAAAAGAATTAGATTACTGAATTTGCCATCAAATGATAATGGATCTGCTTTCTATGGAAAAAATCAGTTTTCTCACCTCTTTCCTGAAGAGTTCAAAGGTACAAAATTGTGTTTCCCACACGGAATATTTCTGTTCTTTCTGAAACTGTAAGAATATTTAAACTAGTCCTGGATTGTGGATTTATAAGGCTGTGCCATTTCATGATTGTAACTACAGATCAAATTCACCATTATGGTTTCTAGTAAAACAGGTTGGGTTTGTGTTGTTTATTTGTTTTTGTCATCTGATTAAGCAGATTTATACATGTTTGTATTCTATGTTCAGCTATTTACTTAAGAAGCATACCTCACAAACTCCCCAGATACATAAAAGTGCCAAAGGGAAATGAAAAACCTTTGCCAAAGAAGTTTGACTGGAGGGACAAGAAAGTCATTGCAGAAGTGAGAAATCAGCAGACAGTAAGTGGCGGTGATTTCCTTTTGCTGATCCTCAAGCACTGGTTAGAGACAGATCCAGGAAGTACATCACAGAGCACAGTGAAGGACAGGGAAGGATCAGCGCTGCCTCAAGCCTCTGAGCACTGATGTGTAGAGTAACACAGCCTTCTATGAAGAGTGGGCTTAGGTATAAAGCATAAAAGGTAAAAGTTGTTAACTGTACACATTTTTGGGGTAAGGTCTGCATCTTCAGTACTTGACCTCTTGCCCTCTGTACTCCTGGTTACAGATCCGTTGCTTGGAGTGCCCATGGTTAGTCAAACTCCATACCTTTACCACCAAACTCCTCTTCCATGGAGGTGCTTTCATGGCAGGAAAATAGAGCCCGACTGGTTACATCCCAGATTGGCTACAGTCATCCAGTACACTTAACAGGATCAGAAGCACTCGGCTTTTAAAACTCCCAATATTTTTCCTTTGTGTAACATAACCTAGACCTTGCCTAGGAATAAGTTCTGTGCTCCCTGTTTAAATCACCACAATTTAAAAAGCTGAGAAAACTAACTGCGATATCAATTAAGATTTTTTTCTCTCACTTTTAATTCTGGTTTACTGCTGCTTGTAATCTAATATACTTGTATAAAATTCTTCAGACGACAGAAAACTACAGGCTGTCTCCTTAAGTGCATCCTTTTCAAAAACTTAATAAATAATTTCTTCCCGGGTCTCAGTCTGTAATTAAGAAAGTACATATCTAGCACTAAAAAGTGTCCCGAGGTCTGTTTTAAAGGGCTGTTTTAATGTTAGCAAAAATGAATCAGGAAGGGATCATAAAAATAAGACATCTTTAATTCATTTTTAGTTTTCACAAAGTAGCACAGGAGGGATAAAAAACAATTCCATATTTGTAATGCCATAAAAATGAAGATAAAAAGCGATGTAGTAAATGAAGGACGTTGGAAAACTCTTTATACTTACACTTTTCCATATTGTGTTAGAAAAGCAAAGCTGACTTTTTTGTTCCTCCTATCATCTCTCTTCCAGTGTGGAGGCTGCTGGGCTTTCAGTGTTGTGGGTGGTATAGAGTCTGCCTATGCAATTAAAGGAAATAATCTGGAAGAGCTCAGCGTACAGCAGGTTATCGATTGTTCGTACAGTAATTATGGTTGCAGTGGTGGTTCCACAATAACTGCTTTGAGCTGGCTGAATCAGGTTTGAAACTTTCTATAAATTTTGAACCCTTCTTTAGCACTGCTTGTTTTGTTTTGTTTCGTTTTGTTTATACAAGGGAAGAAGTGATGGGGAGAAGGGAATATGTGCTTTACAGATCATCTGATTCTTGTTTGTGTGTATATGGTTATTTATTTAATCTAGAATTGTTAATTTGAGCAGAACTGAAACTTGATTTGAATTTTATAGCCTATATATGTTGCTTGTGAATGCACTAAGTTAACCCACAAGGGATAAGAAGAATATTCTTTGACTGGTGCAGCATTTCCATTGAAATCAACTGAAGCAATAACTATACAGTACCAGTGTAGAAGAGCCCATTTATGCAAGGGTCATTATTTGGATTTGAGTCTCCAGTTTTGACTGGACTGAATCAAACGCATTCATTCATTTATCTCTTTGCAGACAAAAGTCAAACTTGTGAGAGATTCAGAGTACACTTTTAAAGCTCAGACAGGACTGTGCCATTATTTTGCTCACTCGGATTTTGGAGTTTCAATTACAGGATTTGCTGCATATGACTTCAGGTAACTGCTGTTGATTCTTTTTATTTGCTGTACTTTCCCTTCAGTGTTCACTAACTGGAGTCAGCCAAAGGTTATGAGGTTGATTTCATCTGAATGTTTGAAAAACTAAAGGGCAATAACAGTATATAGGTGTTTCCTAATTGAGAGGAGTGGGGCATAAGAGGTACATGGTGCCCACTTGACCAAGACTTTTTAACAGCATTGTATCTTTGGACTGGCACCTACTTTATAGTCTGTGTGCCCCGTGTTGTAGTAAATAAAATATGTATGTATTGATGTATGTTATGTGGTGTGTGGAACTCATAGGAAAAAGCTTAATTATTTGATTATTAAATCATACTTCGGTAGATTACTGCCTCTCAAATTGCTTTACTATGCCAACTTTAAACTCTGTGTTATCACTCACTTCTTTCACAGCGGCCAGGAAGAGGAGATGATGAGAGTACTTGTTGACTGGGGTCCGCTGGCAGTGACAGTAGATGCAGTTAGCTGGCAGGATTATCTTGGTGGGATCATACAGTATCACTGCTCCAGTGGAAAAGCAAATCATGCTGTACTTATCACTGGTTTTGACAGAACAGGTATGTTTACATCAACTGAACTTGTAAGTTTTGTTTTCTCATCCTTGCAGCTTGCCTCCTGTGAGGCAGGATATTAGAATCCACAATGTGAGGACTGCTTGGGTTGGTGTCAACTCAATTCTGGAAGTGCAGTTCGATCCCAGGAAATTCTTCTTTTCCATATTCCTTCAGTTTAGTGGGACTTGATGTCCCTGTAAAGACAAGAACACAGGTATCTATATCTTTACCCTAACATAGGGTATATCCAGTCTGTTTTACACTGAAGTATTAGTCCTCTCTGTGAACAATAAGAGGCTTCTCTGTATAATGTCATCCATTCAGCATCCTATGAGATACTAAAATGCTAATTAACTGTATAGAATGTTAGCATTCTTATGCTTCCTAATTATCACATTGTCTCCAGTTTCTGAATATATGTTTTCCAGGTAGCATCCCTTACTGGATTGTACAGAACTCTTGGGGCCGTACGTGGGGAATAGATGGCTACGTTCGTGTTAAGATAGGCAGCAATGTCTGTGGTAAGTCTGAAAAGTGATGCAAGTGGTAAAGGCCACGTGTTGCTCCATGTAAGTAAAGCGATACAATGGGATCCTCACAGAGGAAATACAAATCACTGCTACGTTTTGAATGAGGTTAGATGAGTTCAGATAGAAAAACAGTGGTTGTTAGTTCAACCCAGCCCTGTGGTTGATTGACATCACGCAGGTATTAAGGTACGTAAGCCGTAATAATTGAAGTATGACAGTACCTTACCATGGAGAGGTAATGGCATTGCCAAGTGTACAGTTGTGTATCATCAGCCTAAGCTAGAGATGTTGCTATACGCAGCGTAAGTAAAACAACTGTGGTTCTGGTCTGGTGGATGCAGATCTGTAAGTTCAGCAAATAGATATGGAAAGTGGATCTGCACGTGCTTCAGAATTGTGTACTATGTCTGTGACTTTTTGTGCAAGATATGGAGGTGTATCCTTTTATTGCCAGCTCCGTCTCCGCCCTGTACTGCTGTCTCCATTTTCTTGACATTTGAGTGGCTTTTATATTCTTAAATACTTGTTTTCTGCCGAGTTTCTGAATCTAGAAGTAAGACAGGTAAAGCTCCCCTGCAAGGATTCTGCGCTGAATCCTCAAAGGTCTTGAGTTTTGAACATGAAGCAGAGGAAGAAGAAGAATAGATTTCAGCTACAATGTCAGGCTATGAAGAAATAAGAATTGCAGCTGTTTATTTTGGTGTTTTTTCTGCCGCCACCCTATGCCAATACTTAATGCGTGGAAGAGAGAGGATGTAATATGAATATGAGTTCTGGTCACTTATTTGGTGGCAAGTCTCTGTTTCTAGTATTCATTACAATTTTTTGTTTGTTTCTTTCATTTATAGGAATAGCAGATACAGTTTCATCAGTGTTTGTTTGATTCTGGCTAAAGACCAGGATTATCATTTGGCATATGCTATACATGAAGATTTTACTTCAAAGCAACGTTTCCTAAAATAAGAACAAACTGTATGAAGAGTTCCTGCTTTTTAGGCACAACAGGAAGTGGTCGGTTGGAATTTTTAAGTATGTTTTTATTTGGCACGTGTGTTATGTATCAAATCTCCCACGGAATGAGAAGACTTCGAATCAACCACAGAGCGTGCAGAAGGAAGTTGCAAAGAGGAATTGAAACTACTAAGGTGAACTTAAGTAATAAATAGTAAAAAGTACATTGCTTAAAAAATTGTTTTGAAGAAAGAAGTAGTAGCAAATAAGGAATTTGAACCCAACAATCGGTGGTATGATGGAGTATAATCAAAATGCTTTGAACATCAGAAGCACGATGATTGTCAGCTTTTTATTAGGAGAGAAGGGTGCTAGAAGAAAAGTTGTGTTTATGCTACCTGTTTTGGCTTTTCTAGCATCTCTGGTTGACACACGTTTTTGTCTTCCTCCTTTTTGTGAAATCCTACATTTTTCTCTAAAACTAGATGAACAGAGGAGTGAAATAGTGTCAGCGGTTTACGGGCTGGTTTGGCCCAGTTCCGTGACCAGCAGGGCGGAGGGATCCACAGATCCGCGCCTCTGGAAAAAGGGAACAGGGGACCCCAAAATAATTAAAAACAGCGGCAACGATCTGAGGAGAAACAAACTAATTTACTAAATATAGTATCAGAATGCAAGATAACACACTATAATACAATATAATTAAATTTGAAGCTAATAAATCAAATATAATAAGAGAGAGAATGTCCGAAAGGTGGATAGGCCTCACCACAACGCGGAGAGCTGAGGTGAGATGCGCAGTCCAGTTGAGCAGCAGGGAGAAAAGGGAGGAGAGCCGACGAAGAGCAGGCTAAGAAGAGTGCATCAGGTGACCTTGCCAGGAGTTGCATCTCAAGACTCTCTGTGACCGCAAAGTCCCCTGGGGAATGTAGTTCTTCTTCTCTTCCAGGCAGGTACCCAGAGCTTGAGCACCAACAGTTAAACTCCCACTGCCCCACATGATGTTATGATGTAGAATACCGAAAACCAAAAATCACAAAACCATGACAAATAGCCATAAAGCAATCTCCTGAGCAGCCACGGTTTCTGTAATGCTATAGTCCTTCTATTTCAGTTCTTTTCCTTTCATGGGTAGCTAGAACTTCAGAGCTCTTCAAAGATGCCACGAATGTTCATCATTGTCTCTTGTATTGTCACCTTAGTCCTTCTCTTTCTAAGAGTCAGTATTTTAAGTGGGGGGGAAAAAAAGACCTGTGTGCTAAATGTCAGGTTCTGTTCCTGTCTCTAACAGGCTTAAACTTCAGAATAACAAAAGGGGAAGCATTTTGTGTAGTCAGGCCATACCCTTAGCAGATTACAGGCAACAAATAGCACACTTTCCTGATGGGATAAGAACAGCTAAATTCTCAATTGCCATAAGAGCAGTGTGTTTTTATAGCAGTATCAAACATTGAAGGTCCAGCTATGCTTCTGAAGCGGTACAAACAAGCCTGACTAGAGCACAAAGATACAGAACTCTTCTCCAGAAATGTAGGCCTGCAGAAAATGTATTTTCCAGAGAAGCATTTAGTAACAGTCCATCTAATGAGTAGATAACAAAGCTTTATCTATTCTGTGATCAAAGTTACCTCACTTTTATGATGCAACAATTTTATCCTTGTTTCAATGATATTTTGATTAAAAAAATACTCTAAACAGCTGTCATATTGTTGTGTGAATGTTATGCTTGTTTTAGAAGAAAACAACAAAAGAATAACTTGAATACTGCTTTATTTGAAGTGTGAAGTAGGCATTTATCTCTACTGTTCTTAACAGTAAATATTCCTAATGAAGGCCTTTATATTCTTTAAGAAAATTCCAGAGGCTTGGGTTTCCACAGATTCAGGATATTTGTTTTGAAGATCTTAACCTGAAATTTCTTTTGGAACTCTACAGCTCTCTATCATCTTAAGCTGATGAGAATAATTGCATCTTCAACTCAAAGTAAATTAGTAACAGCCATTAGGTAAACTGACAAATAGAAACATATGTACATATAAGATGTGATGATGATAATAATCTGTATTATTTTTTTCCTGTCTGCAAGTAAAGATTTTCAGATACAAACATTCAACTTAACTAGCCATTAATTTGAATTGGATTTTTTCTTTAATAGAGCCTGAATCAGTGCAAGATTACTTTTTCTACAAACAATTAAATTTATTCAATATGTTAGGTGGAGTATTCACCTAGTTTTGTCATACATAAATAAATATTTACACACCCATGCTGATGAGAACAGTTGCTTTAGTTCAGGAATAGTATCAGGAATATTTCAGGGTGAATGTTCTGAAGTTCTTCGCAGCAGCCAGTCTAGATAGTTCAGTCAGAGTCATCACTGCTAAAATAGGAGCTGTCACAGTATTCTGCTGTATAAAGGAATTTATGAATTGTTGGATTCATCTTTGGTATCCAGTGTCTTGGCACTAGAAATGTTGAAAGATTGAACAAATCCACAAACACCTTGTACCTGTCACTGAAAAAGACAATTGGAACAGTTAATGTTGCTGTGTATGCCAACAGAAGGGCCACAATTTTGAAACTGTGGAATCATTGGAATCATGTGGAATCATACCCTCACATATTTAATAATGTTTCTGCACTAACCGTTCTTCTCCTTAGTATTCTAGAGTTTAAGTTCAGTCCAAGGTTCAGTCCTAACTGTCTCTAGGGCACAGCAGATAAGATTTAAAAGGAGCTACTTCTGTATCTTTCTGCTGGAATCCTCAAAACTTTGGGTAAAGAAGTTCTGAGCATTCAGGGAGTTCTGTGCTCAGTTCAAGACCATCCACTAAAAAAGGAAAAGACAGTTCCTCTGTTCTTTTAAATTCCTTCTCTGCTTCATCCAACAGAAGATGTTGCTGATTTTCACCTGCACAGCCATAGGATGTTAACTAAGTTTATGTATCTTTGTTTATACATTTAGAGGTCACACCAAGAAATAAAGAAACTCAGTTACACAGTGTATGGGGTTAACTTTCATCCTGCTTCACATTATTTCCTATTACAGTAATGCCTAATGCCTTGACTGAGAATTGTAAGTGCACTTTGCATGATGATTAAAGCCCTTTGCCACAAAAGACTTAGAATTCACATGTATCAACCTGATAAAGGTACAACTTGGATGGGAACTTCTCAGTATAGTCCCAAAAGAGGAATGATGGCTTTAACTTTTAGTGAGCTGTCTGAAACCTATCTCCCAGCAGTACAACATCCATGAACAGTATCAAGGTAGGAAAAAGGCATTATTCTTACCTCACTGTTGAGCGCAAGTACTGGTAGCCTGATGATCCTCCTGTGCCAGCCTTACTGCCAATCATTCTGTGCACCATGCAGACATGGTTATCTAAACAATGCATACAAAGGGCAGGGCATTAAAAAATAAACGAAGGGTCACATCAAGGTGAATACTGCATTCTCAGAGGCCATAGAGAGATGAGCTACTAAGTCTTCAGCAACGTAGGAGTTAAGTATGCCACTCAAGTCAGCTGACATAAAATGATTGTTAATACAGAATTAACACATCAATTTGTAGTTATCTAAATAGGGAAAGAGCAGAAGGAGTATTTCCATGTGAACAGTCATCATGATGAGGGTTTGGGAAAAGATATTGTTATTCCTTAAATAAAATCTTTCACTTAGCATAAAACATGTCATGAAAGTGATAGCTTTACCTATGTATCTACTGATCACAGAGGAAGCTGCTCATCTTCGCTCTTGGCCAAAGTACAAAAAAGTTATTTTTAAAGGACAAACTCAGAAGCTCAATGCTAAAACTCTAGTTATAAGTCTCAGAATGTGAAATAGAACAGTTTACTTGAATCTAAGAGAGTATCTCAATAAAAGAGTGCTACTTACATCTCCATTTTGTCATGAGTACGTCAATATCCATAAGAGAGGTGAGAAGCTGAAATGGAACCTGAAAACGGGGCTCCTCTCTTGGAAAATGAAAGAGAGAACAGTAAGACCTCTCATGATGAACTACATATTTCTAACTATCACATCAGCAACAAAAGACACTCTGTGTGTGTTTTTCCCAATCTGGTATTGAAATACCAGTAGATATTCTAACAAGCACTTTGGCCACTTAAGTTTTAATCTGTCTTTTTCCCCCTCTTTGTTGAAAAATACTTTAAAACTTTCTAGGACACTTTGTAGAACAGTTTGTTTTCAGCTTTCCAGCTGCCAATAAGCACTGAAAATATTTTGATACATCTTATAACATTACCTGTAGAAGTAGATCATTAGGGCACCCTTCAGAGCTTTATAAGACAGTCTTCTTTCTCCTGCAAAATACAAATATCTTTAGTTTGTTGCTAATTACCCTGAAAATGTAGTGTTGTTGTGTGATTATTCTCTATTTATCATATTTAAAAATTCAAATATGTATATTAATATACTTTACCTTTACTAAGCAGGTGTTCATGCCGTTTTTCATCAAATAATGAAAGTAATATATCTTTCTGCTTTTGAAATTCAGATAACAAGTCCTCTTTTTCTTCTGATTCTGGTTTGGCCTTCGATATTTAAATCAAAAAGAAGGTTTTTATTTAGAATTCAGTAGGGAAAAAGCAGGTTTTTGAATGACCTATGATTTAACCTCTATTTTCATCTAAACACTCTAAGTTTAAACTTGAAGTATAAGAACTGTATTTTCAAACAAGGTAGGCAAGTCCCTGAGTCACTGTTCTTTAAAATAAAAAAAAAAGAATTATCAGTAGTTGTGCAATTAAGTACAATTCATGCAATTAAATGCAATTCATATGAATAAATGTTCAAACAAACTAACTTTTCTTTAGGTCTAGAGGCTTCAGAACAGCTAATCTTAATTCATATGAAGTCTGATTATTTTATTTCTTAGTTTTCAAGGCGAGAAGAGGACATTTTGCATAGCTATGGATTAGAAAACTTAATAGAAAAGCTAGATAAATCGGAAAGTTGTAAGAATATTCTCAGGAACTTAATATATTCTTATGTTATAGTGTTTCTTCCATTTAGAAATGTACTTATACCTACATGGTTTACATCGCTTGGGGATTTTTTTCTTGTTTCTTTGCCAGTGTGATTCAAATGATCACACAACAGCTAAGTGCCATGTACTGTTAAGTAGTAATGGTCAGTATATAGTGACACTCCTTACTTGTAGTCCCAAACTTTGTGGAGTTTTACTCTGAACTTCAAATGCAAGCATCCAAGGTGACATAGTTTCAGTAAGATTAGTTTTCTTCCTGTGATACTTTCCCTTTTCTTCTGCAATCAAAATAATCCACATAGCACATGCTTAAGATGTTCCTAGATGTCAAATTATAGACTTACTGAGATTTCCTGATAATGTTTGTGATTTTTATGCTTCTTGTAAACACTGGCTGCCAAAGATTAAATGAAGTGAGAAACCAGGAGTGGGCCAAAATGCCAATTAAAGGAACATGATTTCCAGCTGTCTCTGCATATAGTTGGATCAAAAGAACATACCTGTACTATGGCAAATTCCTCTTCTAGTCCTTTTAAAATATTCACTTCAAATTGGCCCCAGAAATCAAATCCTTCTGCCTCAAGTCCTGGAGTTCTTTCCAGCCATGCCTTTAACAATAACAACGTATTCAACTATTCATAATGAAAACACAGTACTCTAGAATTACAATTTATAGCAATATAAATTACACTTGGTTCTGGTTTAATACTCATACAGGTGCAAATTACTGGAATAAGGATGTCCACATGGAAGATTTGTGTCTGTATAATGATGTCATGCAAACACACCAATAGGTTACAAGTTAAATTATCAGTTAGAAGAGTTGTTCTCTTGTTAAAACTCATTCCCTTGTAGACTGATGAAGCAATGTTATTCCACATATAAACTAAGATAAATCTCAGAATGAAGATATAGAACCATCTGCTAGTATAGCCAGTTTTTATCTGATCAGCATGAATACTGTTCACACTGTCTGACATTAGCTTACATCAGAATATGTTATAATACAAGATCAAAATGCATGCAGCAGTTAGAAACCTCTTTGATTTCCTTTTAACAATGGTAATGAAATGAGAAAAAAGACAAAATCTGTGTGGTCAAACTCCTTTTAAAGATAATTTTATTTAGCTCCTTCTTATCCAAAGATGACCAGGAAGAGAAGGAAAGTTACAAAGATTTCTTACACATTCTGTAGCGGGTGACAGCAAATGAAAGCGTAGAGAATAATTTTGTCATAGAGATGTGAATGTGCTTATTGAGGGTTATATTACATTGTTCTTTAGAAGTTAAGTTTGCATGTGAAAAGAACAACAGAGTTAAAGAAACTGCCATGTTTGAGCAATGCACAGTTTTCAGTCAAGGACATTAAATCAAGGTAAGTGAGAAAGAAACATTTGTTGACCTTTTCTCATTTTCATTTTGGGTTGGCATTTTTGTTTTCTGTTTGTTTTTTTTGTTTGTTTTTTTTTTTTTTTTTTTTAGCCTAATACTCCTCACTAACATTGGAATATTTTAAAATTTTTATTCTATAAAGGTTTGTGGTTATGAAAAACAATGCAAATGACCCAATACATTAATATTCTTAGATGACTCTTATTTCTGCAATGTGATTTACTAGCTAAACAGTTATATTTTCCAAACAAGAGAGGTAACAGCTGGAAAAAAAAAATCAGTTGGTTTGAGAATGGCCAACTCTTTCATACTAATTTTGATAATAATTCAAAATGTGAGTTACTGGAAACCTGTCAGCATTCTTGGTTCTCTCAAGGGAAAAAGATCATCACTTACAACAGTGAAGGACATTCTCAAAGGAAAGAGTAAAACATTTAAGCAAGGTCTCAGACAGATATTATTACCTCCACAAGTTGCAGAAGCGTTGGTTCTTGCTCTGATTTCAGCAGTAGTTCATAATCCTCTCCCTTGAAGTTATCACGATAATGCCTTCTGTTATAGGGAACCCTCAGGCTTTGGGGAACACCAATCTTGTTCTCTAGCAAACGAAATTGCAGGCTCTGAAAACCTGAGGCCGGGCTTAAGTAGTCTCTTTGGGAATAGAAGAGAAAAACATACAAAAATACAGGATATTATTTTACCATGATGGAGTTCTCTGGTTCTCAGCTAAAGAAATAACTATGTATCTCATATTTGAAGAATATCAAATAGATAATTAAACATTTTTTGTATGCTTGCAATTAGGGGGCAAAAAAAAAAAAAGTTTTATATATATATATATATATATATATATATATCTCTGTGCATATACAGAGATATATATACACATTTTTATATTGTGTTTTAAAGTGGCAGCTCTGTGTATGTGTTTCACAAAAGAAAAATTAGTAAATATTTTCTTTCTGGACAGCAGAAGTAGCTTTACCCCAAATACACATCAGGAAAATTTAAATATGACTAAAGTGCCATTAAGTTCCTTTTAAATAGGCTTGTTATACATATGAACAATTGATACGTATGAAATAAATAAAACCTACTAAATCTTTTTCAGAACATTATTCTGAAGGATTCATTAACAGGATTCTTTCTGGGCTGAATTATGTGAACATATTAGATGAACTGATTAATAAAATTGATCTGAAATCCCACATTGCTAGGTAATTGTAACACACTCTGAACTGCAAATAGAAGAGTTGGAAAAAACAGGTAATGTATCTGTTTTTGTATTTGATTGCTTCATATTACGTATTACTGTACGTCGTTGAAAATCAGAAGCAATGACTCCTCAGAAGATTATTAGCTCATGTATTTCCCCTGCTGTAGAAAACACAGATGTTCCAAACTTCCAGCGGAAGCGAAGTTGTATTTTCATGTGCTTTTCGGTTAGAGAGTTCTAAAAGACATGGGAAATGGTACTAAAGCAATGCAGAAGGGGGAGGGATGCTGGAAAGTGTGCGAGTCAGGCAGGTCAGGGACACAGTCAGAATGGGAATAGGAAGACAAATGGTGAATTTCATATGAAGCTGTCACAAACGGTAGTGGAAGGAGCTGGTTGTTGTGAGATAAGAAGTAGGAAATGCCAAGTTAGAAGTGAGGAAAACCAACTGATCCCGGAGATAGTCCATGCAGAAAGCAGATGAGCTACAAACAAGTTGATCCAGCAATATTTTGAGCAGCTATGGGAGAGCAGAAGTTCTTGAGGAGAAATAAGAAGAAAGCAATGTTACTTCAGCCTCTCGAAGCAACTCTGGGAAGCTAGGAAATACTGTCCCCCAAGACAGTATAATGATGTATTTGATAACACATAGAAAAGTGTTTGGGTAAGAGAACTGCATCCTCTGATTTGTCACAGAATATGGCTGCAACTGCAGTGGTAAGTTTCAAGTAAATTGTTAACAGAACCAGGAAGCATTTCTACTCTTTCTGCTGGAATTTGAATTTTTATTATTATTTTTAAGTCTGAAGACATTTAACACAGCACATACAAACATCAGAAGTTAACTTGTATTTCATTGCAAGGTATGCTGGTCTTGCAATCAAGCTCATGTTCTTAGTGGACTTTGTACTGTAATGCTACGTTTACCTCCAACGCACATTAACCGGAGAGCTGATCACAAGAGATACAGAGAAAGCTGAGGTCCTCAGTGACTTCTTTGACTCAGTCTCCACCAGCAAGGGCTCTAGTCACACTGCACAAGTTGGAGAAAGCAAAGATAATAACTGGGAGAAGGAAGATCTGCCCTCTCTAAGTGAAGATCAAGTTCAAGATCATCTAAAGAACCTGAAGGTGCACAAGTCCATGGGACCTGATGAGATCCATCCATGGGTTCTAAGGGAGCTGGTGGATGAAGTTGCCAAGCTGCTATCCATCATATTTGAAAGGTCATGGCAGTCTGGTGAAGTTCCCACTGATCAGAAAAAAAGAAGACTCAGGGAACTACACCCCAGTCAGTCTATCACTGCACCTGGCAAGATCACAGAGCAGATCCTCCTGAAGGTCCTACTAAGGCACAAGAAAAATAAAGATGAGGTGATTGATGGTAATGGATTCACCAAGGGCAAGTCATGCCTGACAAACTTAGAGGCCTTTTATGATGGAGTTACAGCATCAGCAGATAAAGGAAAAACAACTGACATAATCTACCAGGACTTGTGCAAAGCATTTGACACTGTCTCGCACATCATCTTTGTCACCAAACTGGAGAAAAATCAATTCGATGGATGAACCACTCACTGGATAAGGAATTAGCTGGATAGTCACACTCAGAGAGTTGCAGTCAATGGCTCAGTGTCCAAGTGGAGATCAGTGATGAATGGCATTTCTCAGGGATGGGTGTTGGGACCAGTGTTATTTAATATCCTTGTTGGTGACATGGACAGTGGGATCGAGTGCACCCTCAGCAAGTTTGCAGATGACACCAAGCTGAGAGGTGCAGTTGACACATTAGAGGGAAGGCATACCATCCAGGTAGACCTGGACAGGCTCGAGAGGTGGGCCCATGCCAGCCTCATGAACTTCAACACGGTCAAGTGCAAGGTTTGCACCTGGGTCAGGGCAATCCCAAGCACAAATACAGGCTGGAACAAGAATGGCATGAGAAGAATTTGGGGGTGCCAGTTGCTGAAAGACTCAGCGTGAGCCAACAATGCACACTTGAAGCCCAAAAGGCCAACCATATTCTGGCTTGCATCAAGAGAAGAGTGACCAGCAGGCCGAAGGAAGTGATTCTGCCCCTCTACTCTGCTCTTGTGACACCCCACCTGAAATACTGCTTCCAGTTCCAATACAAGACAGACATCAAGATGTTGGAATAGATCCAGAAGAGAGCCACGAAGATGATCAGAAGGCTGGAGCACCTCCCTTACAGGGACAGGCTGAGAGAGTTTGGCTTTTCAGCCTGGATAAGAAGACTCTGAGAAGACCTTAGACCAGCCTTCCAGTACCCGAAGGGAGCCTAAAGGGAAGTTGGGAAAGAATCTGTAAGGATATGTAGTGACAGGACATGGGGGAATAGCTTTAAACTGGAAGAGGGTAGATTTAGACTAGATATTAGAAATAATTTAATATGAAGGTGGTGAGGCACTGGAACAGGTTGCCCTTTCCCTGGAAGCATTCAAGGCCAGGTTGGATGAGGCTGTGTGCAACCTGCTCTAGGTGTCCCTGTGTATAGCAGGGGGGCTGGAACTAGGTGATCTTAACGGTCCCTTTCAACACGAAGTATTCTATGATTTTGTTCTCACCCTGTTGAGCAAATCAGGTTCTACAAGCTGCCAGGGTACACGCAAGTCCTTGCTTAAATTCACAACCAGCTCAAAGGATTACTATCCTATGCATTACTATGGAGGAATAGTAAGTATTTACCTGAAATCAAAGAAGTCCAATGCAGTCATGGTTTCCAAAACTGAGAACTGTTCCACAAGTAGTTTCAGAATCATTGATATTCTGTTCATTCGAGTAATAACCTTCAGCATGTTCCTCTCATCTCTTACCTTAGTAAGAAATAAATACAATGATTGGACAGAAAGCGGTGTTCTCTTTACACTGTCTATTTACTTCATGTCTTTTCATCGTTGTGCAACATTATTGTTCTCAAGTCATTTTCCACGTGAAATTCCTAATAGCAGAACAATCTAATATTGATTAGAGCTCAGATTTTAACTGAAAGTATAATATTCAGTTATTTAAATCCATTTTTCTCTCACTGATTCCTATTAACTCAATCCCATTAAGTTTATTTCCCAGACCAGGGCAAACAACCAGAAAATATCAAACTATAAAAATGAAATATGAAAACTATTTCCTTAACTTTAATAGCAAAGCAAGACAATTAACATTGACATTTCAAATTCTGATTGTAAGATAGCTTTCATTTGTCACAAAGAAAAATTATTCTATTAAGAACTGATTGTGGTCAAATACATTTTGATACCATTTTAAGAAAGCCAAGAATATTATGACTGCAGGGGGCAACAAAGAACATTTTCATTGATCATTGTAAGAAAAAGAAACTCCTCCTTTCTGAAAGAAAGTCAGATCTACTTCAAGTTTTTCTTCACATATACAAACTCAGGTTGTTATTCGAGGTATTACATGCAGTCAGCATTTTCTGTGAGCATATTAGGTCAGGAGGGTTCCCTTGTTATCAGTAGTTATGATGTATGTTTAGTGTTGGATAAATGTTTAGAGATGTTTAAAATGCTTCTGTTATATTTGTCATTTTACAAAATTCTCATGCAATTATACATTATGATTTTGATTATTGCTCTTCCATTGGATTTCACAATACACTGCTACTGCAAATAGTTTTGCTTTCATGCAGCAGATATTAGATGAAAGGAAACTGTATGTAGAGTTCAGAAATTCAAACAAAGGCAGACACTGACATTTCAGTGTAAAATAGACCTGTTAGCCCATTTTCAGTTTTGCCTCTGAGCATGACTTATCTGCACATCCAAATTATCTTCTGCAATTTCCCAGTACTAGTAGGAAAGTCTGAGAGTATTTTGGCCAGTGAAACTGGTCTTGGAGAGGCATCTATGCAAAAGGTGAGGAAAAAGGATTCTGTATCTGTGCACAGTATGAGGATATAAGAGCCATACAGCCACTATTTTTGCTGTTCAAAAAAAAAAAAAAAAAAAAGCTCCAACTATATGTAACTTGCATACATCAGGCTGGGAAGCAAGAGAAAGAGGAGTCCAAATTTTACCAGAATGAATATTTACATGACTTACATGTCCATTCTGAAAGATCACCCGAACAGAATCCAACTCCCACAGAATCTGCTTAAACCAAAGTTCATAAGCTAAAACAATAAAGTCATTGTTAGCAATAACTTCAGCATTATTTTGTGGGTTTTTTTTTCTTTTTTTCTTCATAATGATGAGGAAAAATTCTTATTTTTTGATTTGAAGTGAATAGACTATGTTTACAATGTTGGCGTATAAAAAAGTGCTGATATAAAAGAGTATTGCCTGTTCTAGTGTGTTATCCATTACCAAAACTATTACATGAAATAATCTAGTATCAAGAGCATAAATAGAACATACTTTCCACATCAGATAATAGATGTGCAGAATGTAGATTGCAAAAGGGGAAAGAGAAAAATTCAGGTCTAACACTTCAGCAACAAGACTATGGCATTATAACCCCAGAGCTGCTTACAACTTTAATGACTTCTACAGGTTTCCTATCTACAACAGGAAAGTGTCATCCAATTAGTGCCTGCAGACCATGTGGATACAGGCAGTTAGGGAACATCTAACTATTGTGCTGGTTTCTAATGCCTCTCAATGGTTAAAGCAGGATTGAAGTTTCAGAGAAGCCACAAACCAAAATATATAAAGCTTGCCTACAATAAACTGCTTAGCACCCTATTACTCAAGCCGGAATAATTTCTCCACCTTAAACTTCTCTAGAAAGAGAAGCTGATTTTCCAAATCTGAATTTTATATTTATGACTTCATAGGCATAGAGTTCATTACAGCCTTAGAAAACATTCAGGGATATATGCAAATATAAACACATAAAAAGAGAGAGTAATTGCAGCAACCAGGTGAAAAATGAAAACAAATTACACATAGCACTTGTCAATTACAATTAGTACTTGTCAAAGTAACTTCCTGCAGCAAGAATGCCAAACCACCATTGCTCTAGTCCTCTCAGCTACTTACCTTGATGTGTCACAATAAAAAGATGCTCATCGTGGATCTTGTTTCCTTTCTTTTCGCTCTGTAGCTCTTGGGCATTCAGTATTTTGTTCAACTTAAAAATAATAATAAAAGACTATTTGTAAAGTTCCCAATTCTGCTATTAGACACTCTATGTAGAGCTTATATTTAAGGAAAAAAAAAAAATTAAAATATTCCAGTTTTCATATAAGAAGTTAAAATAAATAGTTTCTTTGTAATTAGAAAAAAAAAATATCTGAAATTAACATTCAGGAATGTCAAGTGAAAAAGCTTGGAAAATCATTTTAAGATTTTTGAATACATATACAAAAAAAGAGAAAACAAAATAGTGTATTCTCCAGATCTGATATCAATACTGACATATTCAGTGCAAGAGAGTTCTGATAGAAAATTCTGTAGCCATATAATACATAACTATGCAAGAGCTATGATTTGAGGCTGAACTAGTTATTTCAGTTCTGGCATTAGTAATTTTTGATTGAGTCAGATTCATTATCTCACAGCTGCTTTAAAAGAAATCATTGCAAGATTCTGTATTATATGTCAACAAATTAATCTCTTGTTCTCAAGCACGGAGTAATTCCACTCACTTCAGTTCTTGCTGTCATGAAAATAAAAGGAAATGTCTATGTTATCTTATTACTTCTGACATTTTATTTTTACATATTTCTTGATTACTTCTAGCTGTGTTTTGGGTGGTTGTTGTTCTTTGTTTGTTTTCCTTTCATACCCTACATTACTGGAATGTAATTTTCCAACCAAATATTAAGGAGTTTCATGCAGTAATTTGGGGAAGTTGCACATGGCCTTTTGATTTACAGAAAAACTGCTAACTGCTAACTATCAGATCAAATAAAGTATTGTGCTGCATCACTTCACAGTTTACGTTTGCCAGTACAATTAACTACCGCCAGTGCATGACTGGGAGAAGTGCCAATCTTGTGTCCTGGCTCAGGTCTTCTAATCATCCAAGACAGTAAAATTCAAGTCATTACACTTACTTGCAGGTAATCTCCATAGATAAGTCCACCTTTGCTGGCTTTATTTATTCCCTCTTGCGATTCATCAGCTTTCTCATCTTTCAAAGATAGGTTGCCAAATTTATATCTGAGAAGAAAAGCAAGAAAATACGTAAGCTATTTAATTAAACAATTATTGCTATATTTGTCATTTTATTAACAGGTGCACCTAAAATTCAAACAATGAAAAAAATGAACTACTAAAGCAATCTTCTGAGAAAGAATGCACCTGATGTACACCTTGTCACAGCAATAATAGCTGGTAGCATTAAATCTAGTTCATCACACAGCCCTTCCCTGAAGGGTCCTCATACTCCCTTCCCTTAGGGATAGTTATAACAGTCTATTTACAGATAATCATTAATTCCTCTCCAAAATTTACATTAACTTTATATCTTTTAAAACAAAATAAAGATAGGAATAACTCACGAGTATTTGTTCCCTGTGAAGGGGCACCCACTCATGGTTCCAGGGTCCAAACTCACTGAGCTGTGCTCTAGGGAAAAAAAAAGCCAATTCAGTTAACCCTAATCTGCTGCACCTGCCTTATATGTGACCTTATCTCCCTCTGTAGACCAACCCCCCCAAATCCTCTTAGCTCTCAGCCCATCCCTGCTATTCAGTAGTTACAGAAACTGTCATGGCACAAAGGTCAGTAAGTTCATGCGGTTTTGGCTCTCTAATGTTTTGTTTCAACCAGCAAAAAAAGAGTGGCTGGGACACTTGCTTTTTCCCATATGACAATTTTTGTGCACTTTGCTGTGTGGCTTTCCCTGATGGAGACTTGGCTTGTGTAAGGGATAAGTCAGTGAGAAGTCTGCATGTGAATAAACACAATATTTAATATTTAATTCAGAGCTTGGTTAGGTAGATTTTTAACCTGCAACACCTCATATCAAAGCATCAGTATACTTCAAACTTTAAAAAAAATGAAACATGAAAAAGGAAAGGGAGAGGAAGGAAAAGAAAGAAAATTGAAACTTCCATGGAAAACTGAACTGTTTGTAAAAGCTTTCAAGCAGTGCGTTTATATTCAAAGTGGGCACACAGATTATAAAACAAGGAAAAGAAAAATACATGTATGTTACTATTCCAGGGGTTTAATTCATTACAATTTCTTGATTTTATTTCCTCCTGCAGAAGTTTCACTCTCATTTGTTGACAAATGTTACTCAATTCTGTCTAATCATCAGCCTAACAGACTATGAAGTAACGTGTTACTAGTGTGCACTTCTTTTGTACCTGCCAGCCTGTTCTGAAAGAAGTTAAAGCTCAGTTTTTCTGTAAACAAAGTTACAGGGGCCCTGTGAACCCAGGACATTTACTCTCATACATCGTGCAGTGGTATCTGTGTGCTAGATTCAACTGTTCCAGTCATGTAAGAGTAGATGGATGACAAAAAAATATGTGGGTCATGAGATATATGCCCTGCTAAGTCAGATGCTGTATGTCATGCTAAACAAATGTTAGCTTAAAACTGAGTTCTCACACAGCTGAGCCACAGGTATGACTCCACTGAGGCAACTCATAAGGAAGATAACAGTGTTCTTCCATCACAATATAAAAGCTGATGGGGCAAAATAATCCTCATCATTCATTTCTATACATCTGCTCTGGATACCAGCAAGTGGAAATAAAGGCTGCACACTAGCATATACATCAGTGCTTGAAAAACATGCTGCATCTACTGAAACTGCTGTATTATGAAGAAACTGCCCCACTGTGCTCTGCCCTGGTGCAGCCTCATCTCAAGACCTGCATGCCGGTTTGAGCACCACAATGTAAGAACGACATGAGGCTATTAGAGAACATCTACAGGAGGGCTATGAAGATGGGGAAGGGTCTAGAGGGCAAGGTATATGAGGAGTCCCTCAGTTGGTTCAGCCCAGAGCAGAGGAGCCGAGGGGAGGCCTGATGGCGGCTGCAGCTCCTCACAAGCGCAGCCCTGAGCTCTGCTCTGTGTGACAGCAACAGGGCCTGAGTTGTGTCAGGGAAGGGGGGGTGAGGGTGAGGAATAGTTCTGCACCAGAGGGCAGTGGGTATGGCCCCGAGCTGCTGGAATTCAAGAAGCATTTGGACAGCACTCAGACACAGGGTTTGAATTTTGGGCCTTGTGTGGAGGCAGAAGTTGGACTCCATGACCCTTGTGAGTCTCTTCCAACCCAAGGCATTCTATCACCCTGTGACCTGCCCCAGCTACAGATCTCAAAAGCATGGGCAGCAAAGGCTTGGTTTGTCATTTCCAGTTGAAACAGACATCCTGAACCTCCGCTGTGAAATCAAACTTCCTGTTATCTTTCCTAATGTCACAAAGGAGGAGTGTAAATACAGTAAAGGAACAAGAATAGCTGAAAAATATGAACTCTCAACCACATCAGAGAAGCAAATGTGTTTCCTTGTGCAGTTAATATCTTTCGTGGGGCCCAAAGAATAATGCATTTTCAGTTCAGTTCTCTGACTTGCAACAGTTATACTGCCTGCCCTATAGGAAAGACTTTGAAGTCTAAGAGCCCCTTTAAGCTCTGTGCTTAACAAAAACATTAACTGCAAGTTTGGGGAGTAATACTGCCCTCGGTTGGTTCAGGGTTACTAAACTCCCAAAATCTAGCTGAGAATACTGTCTGAATCAAGAGATACAGAAATTTCTATTTTGATTCAGCAACAAACAATCTGCAGTCAACAAAATAAATCAGCCAAATTGCAAGAATTTAGGAATTTAATTACAGTACGTTCAAATTCCAACACGTTCAAATTTTCTGCTTACAGACCTCAAAACTGATTGATTCCATCACTCATTCACCTCACTGGCTACCTGAACGTGATTTCAGTAAGCCATCACAAGTACATCATGAACTTGGTACTGATAAATAGAGCAAATAAAAGAAAAGCTAACTTGTACAACCTGATTATGAAACTGTCTGTTGGCAGTATGGACAATAGCACAGACTGAAAGAGCCATAAGGTCTGGCTCAACTCAGAGCCTTTAAGTCTGTCTTAGCTGTAGACACTACTATAATTGATGGAGAAATAAATGCCTATTCATGCTCCTGCCATGCTGCTCAAATCTGGGATCTAATTCTTCTTTGAGTGGTTCTAGTCACCTTTCCCCACTGAGATTTTACTGCTCCTTCGCCATCTCTTTATACTAGCATAATCAATCATAAAGGAATCTTGTTGAAAAAGCTCCTCCATATATATCTGAAAGCAAAATGTAACCTTGATTTTAACTAAATGGTATTACCTTCTTCTCAAAATGCACCATAATTACCCTTTTTCATGCTGAACATGCAGAACGAGGTAGAAGCAGATGTAATTACACACACAGCTTGCTGTTCATGTTGTGGATGACTGAGCAAGGCTATGAAAGCCAACCATGTGTGCATGCCCTTGAGATTTTCTCTCTTTTTTCTCTGTTTTCTTGCTTATTTATTTTTACAGCACGAAAGTCAGACAAAGACTTCTGTTCATTCTGAAATGTATCAAAGGACTCTAACCTTCAGTGCAGAGAAAGTTCTGTTTTTTGATTGGGCAGGATACAAGACAAACAGTTAAACAAAGTAGGAAAAAAAACAAAAAGGCACATGTTCCAGGAACTGCACTTTGTGGCCTTTAAGCTGTCATGATCTTCATGACCAAGCATGACAACTGTTAAACTCCTTTCTTAATCCACTCCCATCCCCTTTTTTTTCTGATTTCCCAGCTGTGGACGTGGAATAGCTTTGTTCATCACAGCTGCAATGGAGTCACAGGGGGGAGACAAACTGAACCTACTTAAACTGAAAGAAGTGAATTGTAAGAGCAAAAAAGGAGCCTCCTTCTAGCTAGGCCAATGGGAGGTTTGGTGTAAGCCAGAAGTGTCCTGTATTTTGTAGATACTGCTGCAGTAAAGAGTCCACTTGTTCTGATGTGAACTGATGAAGAGAGAGAAGTAACAATGACTGTGTAATGTCATAAATCCAACAAAAGTCTTCTCTGTATTTAGAAGTGACTTGTTCACCTAAAACAAATCTCAAGATACCCCACACTACACTTCCCAGAAACACTAGGAGTTATTCAGCACAAATCGTTTTTATCTATGTAATAGTATCTGCAGTGGGTTGGGTAAGCATAAAAGTTTCTACTAGAAAGCAGGTGTCTTGGGAGGAGCCTATTAGAAGAATCAATCAAACAAACAAACAAAAAGCAAGCTTACAGTGAGATAGTTTCCCCATCTAATTTTCCAATAGTGATAGTGTAGGACTTCCTGTGATACCCGTGTCCTTGCATATCATTACACTGTGAATCCACAGCCTGCTGCAATGAATTCCATAACTGAAGTGCACACCGTGTGAAAGAGAAATTCCCTGTTGATTTCAAACTTCCTGCCAAGTAACTGAGTATTTCTAAATACCATTCAGTACCAAGTCACAGCTTATGAGCTTGCAAGAAGGTCCCAGTCCCAGTCCCTCTTTTCTGCAATTGCTTAAATTAAGTTGTGTGTGTTTTGAAATTGAGCATTTAAAAGGCAAAACATCAATGTACAGCTGTACACATTGCTATTTTCATTGGTGAAAGAACTGATCTCTCAGACAACAAACTCATTATATAATAGTGAAATGCAGAACAAGCAGTAGGGCAACTACTGGTAGGTTTTGGCTGAGAAGGTGCAACTGAATTTCCTGATTTTTTTCTGGAACACTGTTATCCTGTTCACTGGAAAGAGTTCTAAGAGTTTTAACACCAGTTTAACTTTACACCTATACATTAAATAATGTATGGAACTGAAATGACTTCCAAAAAGGCTTTACAAAATGTGAAGTTTTTATTGTTTTGTTGTTGCTTTATAAATAAGTTGGTAGTTACACTGGTTGAACTACATCTGACAGTTCATTTTATTTACCATAAGCTTAATCCAAAGCACTGCTTTTGTGTATCCCTGATTTTTCTTTTTGATTTTCTTTTTGATTTTCCTTTTTGATTTTCTTCTCAATGCCTATTGCACAGCTGAAGCACCTAGTAGACTACGCCAGAAAGAACCTTAGTGTGCTACTTGCTATATAAGAACTGAACAAAAATAACTTCCCTAGTCAAAACAATAATAAAAACATTACAACAGAGACTTGAATAAAGACACAAAAGGGGAAGGTTGAGAGGAGATAATTGATACAGCACCAAAAAATATCCTCCTCTCAAATAAATATTTTGCAATTTCCAAAACTGGCATTCATATATAAAAAACATTTGAAATTAAGAGCTTGTATCAAGAAAAAAGAAAATCCAGTGACTTGAGGCTTGAACAAACTGGCCTGAAGTTGATGCAATATTATTAATCCAATCAGGCATTCGTATTTGGGGGAGGAACAGAGCTCAAGGTCTTGCAAACTACAAACAAAGCAAAGAGATAGTGCTGCAAAGATTTATTTTTTTAATACTGTATTTGTTCTACTTCTTAAACACAGAGAACCATGTTGTCACTTCTCAACATACTCTTAACTCACAATTACATGTCATGCATCCCAGCACAACCCCCCAGCCCCCTGCTGTCTATCATGTGTGGCTCTGCAGAATGCAGCAGGATTTCTTCCACATCACATAGTTTCTGACCCTACTGCAGTCCAGAAGCATTGACATCAATGCTCTGCCCCAAGCTGTGATCAAAAGCAGATTCCGCTCAGATTACCACTGCACTTCCTACACCTGGATTTTCTTTACATACAGCACTTATGATGATTTGGTTTTTGTCTGCTGGTTGTACTCAGATGTTGCCTCAAGTGCCAGTTCTTGGAATTGTTCCAGAGGAACAATTTGTTTTCCTCACCTTCTGACTGATCGCTGATTTCCAAATTATGGAGAAGTGTGCTCTCACTGCTACTTCCAAATCTTCCTCCTTTCATCCCTGAAACATGTCAGTATTAACCAAAACTATACACTTATGAAAAACAAGTTGTGCATATGTGTAAGAACACGTTGGTTGCCGTGGAGCTTCCCCAAGACTGATTTACCCTCTTTTAACACCTCACAGCCACACACTGCAAGGCTCTATCCTTCAGTACAGGAAAGCTGTTACTTTTCCCTCCTAACACATGAAACTTGGCTACTAATCAGGTGCAGTGAAGTCAGGACCTGAAGCTATCACCATGCCTCCACGTGGCTCAGCCCGTGCTGCTGTTTGCAGCTGAGCTGCCTAGCAAGAGCAAAGGGCTGCTTCAGGACAAACTCCAATAGCAATTTGCTAATCTGATGCTATTCAGTATTATCATTAATGGCCTGGATGATGGAATAGGCTGTACACTTCTCCAACTGACAAATGAGAATTACCTGGAAGGTATAATAGCATGCTGGCAGATGGGGGCTAGAATTCAAAATGATCTTAATGCACTGAAATAATGTGCAGTTTCAGTGATGCAAAGAGTAGTACCTTTGAACTTCAGCAATGATAACCAAATCAGATTTTTATATTTTATTTTAGAATGAGCTGAATGTTTCACTTATACAAAAATACATTAAACAACAAAAAGCAGAACTGTGGAAATTCATATGGGCAACTTCACATAGCAGCTTTCTATATGGCATGTGAATCTTCTTTTCCATCCAGCCTCAGAAAGGATGTCTGAGGTACTATGTCCCTGACACCACTCTTCAAGATAGATAAAGAATACTTGGAAAAAGCTCAGAAGAAAATGGCAAGAAAAAACAAACAAACAAACAAATGTTTGACATAGAAGATACAGTCCTTTAAGAAAAATGGAATGAACTTTGCTTGACCTGTATAGCCCTAGTAAGATTGTGAGGAAAAGTGATAAATACTTTTCCTTAAAGAGAAGACTAATAATCAGTTTTCCATATTCAGAGGGTCAGGAAAAGGAGTAATCAGTTTAAAGAACAGCAAGTCAAGATAAATATAAAAATGGATAAATAAGTAGAGAAATCTCTACTGTGTGAAGAGCATTAGAAAATACTGATGAGAACAGAAAATTTCTTCAGGCACCGCTGATTCTGTGTCAGTGGAAGGAGACAGGCCCAAGAAGTCCTTGAATTCTCTGAGTTCCTTTTTTGGAAGTCTATCCCCTCATTGCTGAGTCCAATGGCACACCTGCTTTGAAAGAAGGAATGAGACAGATGCCTGCATTTACAGTTAGTTACCATTTTGCACATATCCCATCATTTGCCATAAAGCAGCAGTGACCACACATTGTAACAGTCCAGATGGTGGTCGTTTCTTTTTTCTTCTCAGTGTTTTGTTTTTACAACTATTTTATGCATAGACTCAGTATGAGTATTTCCAGCCCTCTATATTGGTAAATAGTTGATCAGCTTCTATTAAAAAGAGGAAAAAAAAGAATATTTTAAGCAAAGAGTTTCACACAATGAAACAGATGGCAGTAGGAAATATTTTGACACTTTATGGAAAAATGTCCAGTGAAAGCTAAATATGTATGCTTGTGTATATATATATAGGTATGCATTTCCCTTCATCAGCCCCTAAGTTTTCTTACAACACATTCTGCAAGTAGGCTATAGAAATATAACTTATCTGAAAATCTCATCTCTTTCTTTCAGCAAATTGCTATGTAGTCACATTGGTTGCAGCATCCTTTTAAAGTTGGCAGTACAATAAAAAAATTCAAAAGTACTGAGGACTGACTTCAAAACACATCAGAGAAAGAAATTACAATATGTATGAATACAAAATTTGTGACCACCTCTGTCATCAGTTGTTTTTTCTAACCTTTACTGCACTAAGAATTAAAGACTGTGTGATTTAGATAACTAGACATGTATGACAAGGAGTGAATGGAAAAAAATAAGCTCCCTGTGACCAATTTATAACTGTAAGCCATTTGGGAACGATGAACAAATACAAGATGATTGATTTTCACTCCCTAGCATTTGCTTAAGAATTAACATAAAACAACCATAAAAGAAAGAAAGAAAATTTGAAACTGATATCTTTTGTAAAGCAGAGAATATACAACATGTTCATAAACACAGACTCTTAGTAAGATACTCACTTTTTAAGAAAGATGAATCAGTATTTGCTGTGTACAGAGCAACTTGCAGTCTGTACTTCTTTAACCCTATGCACAACAGTATTAACAGACCAATATAACTTTAAGAACTCAAGCAAGTTTTAAGTGACGTAAATGCGTTGTTTGAGTGCTTTGTGTTAATAGGAATCAGCAGATCAGCAAATAACTGCTCAGCAGTGCATTAGGTACGGCTGAGTTACGTATAGATGTTGAAAAACAGTTTACTGTTAAGTACTTTACTGCCTGAGTGAGTGCAAGTACGGCTCAAAGCTTACCGTGGTAGAAAGCCTCACTCATGAGGCAAAAGAAACAAAAGGAAGAGGCCATCTTTCCAAGAAGCTGAGTACAGACATATGCTCTTCACACTGGAATGAGTAAATGGAGCTCAGTGATCTAACTTGCAGCTCATCACTTAAGCAACGCAGCCAGAAAACAGCCAGCAAACTGTGAATACCAGTGAAGCACTGAGGAGCTAAAATAGCACATCTAGGAACCCAAGTGTGCTGCAGGCATTGAATTGGACCTTTATGAGAGGAAAGAGATAACCCCAAGCTCTCCATCCCCTGCAGATCACGAAGTGAATGTGACAGTTTTTAAATCTTCCTAAAAGACTAACAAAGCACATCTCATATTTGAACTTCTTATTATTTTCCAGTGCCTTTCATTAGATGCCCAGTTGTTTACTGGAAATTGTTTTCAAACAAGAATACACCATTCATTCGCCATGAAAGTGGTTTCTGTTCTCTTTGATAAGGAGTTAATGGAATGACCAACTGCATGCATCTTCTTCCTCACCCTCGGGGTTAGTTCTCAAGAACTGCAGCCCATTTCTTGCTGAAGCCCACAGAAACATGAAATCTGCACCTGGTTATAAGGACAGCTATTCAAAGTGAGGGTGAGCTACATCCTGCTGCTGGTGGGAACTTAGAGGCAGACATCCACTGCCCTCCAGGGAAAGGGTTCCTTATCTACTTAAAGAGAATGTATTCAACTTGGAACAGCACGGCTTTTTCTGAAGATGTCTTTCTAAAATAAAAAGAAATTATGAAAAATTAACTTACAAGGCAATGCAACAAGACAGAAGCCTGCACTTCTACTATTATTGGTGTAATAGGTACTTGAACATCTGATCCTGCCATAAAAATAATCCTCTCAAAACTAATCTTCTCTTTACTTTGCAGACCACGTTATCTAAAGGAAAAACATAGCAACCCTGGCAGGTAAATTGCCCAGCATTGTGTCATCAAGTATCACCTCCCATTTAGTTTTCTATAAAAGCCATTAGCTAGCAATGATCACAGTGATAAGGCAGCTTACAGTATCCTTTCCCTCCTTACTGAAATAAGCACAGCCTCATGGACCAGTTGGGGAGATTCACTCAATTGGATGCTAAAGGTAAGTCATTAGATGTATTAGAGTGGCTCACCAAAAGTTTTAGTTACGTTTGGGTGTTTTTGTCAGGATTGATGAAATGAGAAACATTGTCTCACCTCTCTTGCTTCATCCAAAATAGAAGTCATATACATCTTCAAGACATAAACAAGAGAGAGGTGAAACAAAGCTTGCAGAAAAAAAATGTTTCTCTTAGGACATGAGGAATACTCTCTAGCTATTGGTCCTGTATGCATGTAGAATAAAAGTCACACAGCTTCAACTAGGCAGTGACTTTTCTGAATGATGTCATAATTTAATGACTTTTAGATAAAGGATAAAAAAAAAACCCTGAATCTATCCAGACTAAGTAACCTTTGCACAGACAAAAGCCACAGGTAACCTTCTTGAAATAACTCCTTCCATAACAACAGCTCTAGATGAAAACAAGCTGCTGGACTTTTTCTTCTGTGAAAAAGCTTAGCTTCCTGTTCTTTTCACTGGGTCCTTTTACATCTTCCCACCCATACTAGATCAAAAGAGCCCAGTACTATTACCTATTAGCTCCCTATTCAAGTAATTCTGGATTGTGATGAATTGTCAACTTATCAAGGTTAAAAAAAAATTATTTAAATTCAGCTTATAGTATTAGCATTAGAGATAATGTGAATTTCTGAAGTTTTTTAGACCAACTCAAAACAGTACATCCCTGGCCTAATATCCCTGGTTACATATGTGGATAACTTATTTCTTCTTTAAAAGCATTGGACTGAGAAACCAGGTTTCTCTGACCAACCATTATGGCTCTCACAGCTTCTTCAGCAAACAGCTGAAGGCAAACTATCTGCAACTCATCCTGAACGTAGGTCTGTCTGCCTTATGACATGCATGTTCCACATTTGCCTACACTGAAACATGCTGTTTGCTCTTGTACCTGGATCCCTCTGATTTACCTACCTCCTTGCTTATCCATCCTTTAACCTTTGGATTCTCTATTAATATTTTTTTTTAAATCCACATAATTATATTTTTTTAATTGCAGAGTCAACATTAAAAGTACTTCATATCATTACCAAAAGATATGCATATCAAACAATAAGTTATTGAGAGAGCTAAGACCTAACATTTCCCCAAGGTCTTTTTGTCTATCTAATATCATCATCATTTAATGGCATTGTACAATCATTTTAAATATATTTAAGTCACTGCTTTTTTTTTTAAGAGACCCAGACTGACACCAAAGATGAATGCTTAAAGAAAAGAAAAAAAATTGTCTTCAGATCCTGAAATCAGTGGCCAACATCTATATCTTGCAACAAGAGAATATTAAATTTGTTCTACCTATACACCTTGGGTCAGTATTATGGTCTGCAGAGAAAACAGTTTCTTATCATTTCTCCTTTGTTACAACGTGAAGTACAAAAGCAGCCATGCCTAAACAGCTTTGCAAGAGGATCCAATAGTCACTAGAACTAGGAGAGAAACTTTTGAGCAGTTTTCCAGCAGAAATAGTCATAAGAGTTGGAGTAAATAATAATAGCATTGAATTAAAATCTGCATATGAATGATTAGAAAACCATAAAAAGCTGTTTCCTTTCAGAAACATTCTGAAATCCAGAACCAACTGGAATTTAATTGGCACAGTCTGCCCACAGGCCAAAGCAACATCCCAGAGAATTGATGTTGTCAAGACAGCTTTGGCAGAAAACTCACACACCTTTTTGTTCCTCTTCCCAACTGTAACAACTTCTAGTAAATCAGTTTAATAAAGTTTATGTTTCATGCAAGAAAATGTGCCACACTCTTAAATCTACTAATACAGATGTAAGGGTAGGAGAGTAGACTTCCTTTTGAATCTGTAACCCTCCAAGTTTTACATAGAAACTTCCAGTAATTTAAGGGTGAAAGTCCGAAAGATGCATAATTCCCTGTTTATCTTTTAGAGCAAGCAGAAAGGACCAGGACTTTAATAATCAGATGTTTAGCTTTTTATAGCATCCTGTGCTAAGTCAAAAATCCAATCTTTTCCATGGAAATGGAACTACTCATTTATGTTGATATGCTTAACAATCACGTGGCATAAAATATTGCACAATATAGTCTGTTCTCAGGCAGAGATTATAGAACTGAGCTAATCTGGGACACATCTTCTAGAACTCTAGTCTACCCTTAGAAGGAAGCCCACTAATCAAAGAGTTTATGACTCTAGATGCTTTCCAGCATCTTAATTATGTAGTTCCCTTTCCTAAGAACCATTTAAATGCTAATTTTAAAATGTGTGTTTTCACTTGGTCAACGCTTAGGAAAATTGGATCAGATACGACTGTACTTAACAAAGAAACTTCTGCCACGCTTGGAAGACAGAAGGAAGTATCGTCAGGAGTTTGCCTCATCCACATCGTTCCATGGAGTGCATAAAATTGTTCAAACTCAGAGCAGCACACGCAGAGTGCTGTGGCTGCTGGTAGTCACAGGCTGTCTTGGCATCGTCATTTGGCAAATCTGCAGTCGCTTTAACTACTACTTCAGCTGGCCAACCACCACTACAGTGATAATTCAGCATGTGGAAAATGTCAAATTCCCTGCTGTGACTTTTTGCAACCTGAACAGGTAAAAGTTACGCTTGTTGCTTGCTCTTGAGAGGCTACATCTCCTTATCTGGCTAATATAAAGCAGCTGGGCTCCACAATTCTTTTCATGAAGGCTGCAAAACCTAAATCTGAGGGATCTATGTTCCACACCGCTATTCAGCTAAAGAAGAAACATTTTCAGATAAGTTTAAATACAAACATCATACAAATGTAGAAGCTTTAGACAAAGCAGTTATTTTTTCTCATTAGTGCTCGCCCTTTGTAGTTCCAGCTGATGTGAGTGGGATCTGTAAGAGGAAAGCATTTGGCATGCTTGAAAGCTGTATACCTAAGCAGGAACTTCACTAAAGTTGAAAGTAATGGCCACAATTCAGATGTAACTGCTTTTAAAAAAAAGAAAGCAATAAATCTACAATCTGATTTTTATATGTAGTATGCAAGTAATTTAGAAAAATAATTTTACTCACATTGTTTTCTCAAGAATGATAAGTTCTGAGATACCCTTTGTTGCCAGAATCAACCAGAAGGTCCAAGTCCCAAATATCTGGTGCCTTTCTGCCTCACTATTTTTCATTCCCATCGCCCTACGTAAAGTCCTTCTGGGTTATACTGTAGAATATACACTGCAAGTAGAAGTTCCTTGAGTTGAGCATGCTTTATTAAAATCTCTCATTCATTCTAACTATAGTGGCAGCAATGAAACAGTTGGCTACCAGTTGTCTGCCTAAGTGACGATTTGCTGCCACATCCATCTGCTGTTCCTGTTGTGCTTTTTCTTCACTCCTGTTTTCAGTTACTGTTTTCTTCGCTGGCAGAACAAAGAGGCACAAATCTTCCTTTGTCTTTTTAGCACATCCAACATCTAATAGTTCGGAGATTTCAAAAGGATTCTAGGAGAAAGGGTCACCTTTGGTTTCTGCTACTATAACACCAATGACAGAGCTCACGGGTAGGTAGTCTTAGTGTCACAGTAACACAGGTACACGAGATGCACATAGAAATCAATTTTATGAATGAAGGAACACAGCTCTTTTTTTGAAAGGAATTGGTCCTCCCATGGTTCCTCATGAAAATACAATTGTCCAGCTTTCAAACGGCTCTATAGTTCTGGCTGTTGGATTCTGTAGATGGCCAATCTGTTTTGTTTGTTTGCTTATTTTTTAGTAGCCCTACACAGCAGAGGCGCTTATATAGTGGTCCTGGGAAGGTGTCCCTTTTCTGTTCTCGTTTGAAAATAAGTGTTTCCTAGAAATTAAGACTACATTGTTTATCCATGTTCTAGAGATCAAAGTGCAAGCGTGGTGGACAGGAATGAGGTATAGTTTGAAAACAAGCAACGTCACACAGCTGGCAAAAAGAGCACTGAAATTGGTCCAATAGTTTTGCAGAGCTCCAAGTAATTCTTTCTCCTTCCCATTGACAGGTTTCAAGCTCATGCAGTGAGTAACCTTCAAATCATTTTTTTCCTTTGGAACATTGTGTCTGGAATTGTCCAAAAATTTTCTACGGAAGACAATTATTTCCAAGAGCTAAGTAGCTTTCTTCTTGGAAACCAAAACTTCAGCATTAAAGAGTTTACAAGGGAAAACGGATTTTATCTGAATGGCAGCACACTGCTAGAATGTGAATTTTTTGGAAAGACATGTCATCCAGAGGTAAATACTCTTGCCTCTACTAGAACAAAAGAACGGAGGGAGAGGGAATGTGTTGTTACCACTTGACTTCAGATATTTGGCTTTGCCATCTACTCCCCCTGCTTTCCTTTACAGTTGCTCAGTGGAAAGAAAAGAAAAAAACAAAAAATCAAGCTGTAAATCATCATGAGGAGGAGCCCAGTCCAGCAGGACAGCCTACTGGACTCTCTGAGCTGTAGCATGGAATTTCAGTCTGAATTAGTCCCTGCCTAGTCCCACTTCTGCTTAGATAGTGGACTTTGAAAACTCATTCCTTCAAGCTCCACCCAGCCATCTTCCTCATTTAAAAGCCTGTGACATCAGTTTGAAGGAAGTTTCTTTGTATGACATGGTTTTGCAGATGCATTCAACTGATGTAATTAGTTTTATTCTTGAGATCAAGAACATGGACAGCCAGGGTAACTACAAGCAGAGCCCAAAAGAATTCTAAATTAATATAGCCTATCTTTGGGACTTTCAGAAGGTAACAAAAGATCCTCCTATTTTATGCCAATTCTTCCAAAAAACAATTCCAATTTTCAATACAATACGTGAACAGAAGAGTCAGTCCTACAATCCTTCAGGTTAATCTAGTCTTTAGATATGTTGTAGCTTCTAAAAATTAGTCACTAGTGAGTTCTCTTGACTCAAAACACTCAAGTGCCCAACAGCTAAAATTGAAGCTATGAAATACAGTCATATTCGCAAGGGTTTTCAGTTCAGTGAAGTGGTTTGGGGAAAAAATGCAAACATTTTACCCCCCATATGCAATATCACACATATATTTGAAACAATCTCCACTAAGCAACCACTGGAAAAACTGAACTGAATGTATCATTTCAACAGGATGTAATAGGTACAAAATCAAAACTTCATTTAATGATTTTGACTAGCTCATGGGCATTAATAAATTACGTGCATTTACCCTTTCAATTTCTATAGGTCATTTCTTGTAGAAAGGGATGAAATGCTTTTTCAGTATTTCCATCTTTCCTAATTGTAAAATTTAGCATTGCCTTTGGGGAAAATCTACAAAAAAAAAAAAAAAAAGAAAGAAAAAAAAGAAAAAACCCAACCAACTAGCTCATTTTGATTCACTAATGCAAGTTCTTTTGTTTTTTTCCCCTTGTTATTCTTCCTTATTTTTCTCTTTTGAAGGACTTTGAACACATTTTCACTGAATATGGAAACTGCTTTACTTTTAATTACAATGACCTTCCAGCAAGAAGTGTGAGCTTGTCTGGAAGAGGCTTACATTTACTTTTTGATGTCCAACAGGTACAGCTATGCTAGTGGTTTTAACATTTAATCATATAAAAACTCACAGATAAATAGATGGGTTTGTTTTAATCAGGCATTCGGATTTCTTACATAAAATTCTTTTTCAAGACTGTTCCTGAGTGAAAGCATATTTTAAAGATCCAAATCTGGGTTACAAATTCTGAATGACTGTTGACTCTGTACCAGCTAAATGGCTTTGAAAGCTGCAAGCATGTATGTATACAATGTACCTACAGCTGAAAAACGCCAGAAGTAATTTAATTTTATACAAACGTTTGAGGGTTTGTCTTTGCACTATCAATAGTTTCTGGCCTTATTAGTATTGTAATTGACCAAAAAATCATAGCTCAGGGAATACTACCCTGTGAGAAGAGGAAAGAAAACTAAAACCTACAGTTATAGAAGAGTTAAACATCCACGTGTGCTCTCTGGAAATTGTAAGGGAGAGGAGTGACAGGATCTCAAGGGAACAGTGGAAATCTTGCTGACATGTGGGGTAGCAGCAAGTAAAAGGAATGAATCTTTAAGTTATGAATGAAGGTTCATCTTTGCCTCTTGCTTTTGAGCATGGAATAGAAGCATGGAAGAAAAAAGCTAGAAATTTAAAGTAACAGGAAGAAAACCCCACAATGGTAATCAACAAAGGAAATTACAGTCACTTTGTTTCCAAACTATTCTGTAAATTGCTAGAAGAAAACTAGAGAAATAAGACCAAAAAGCCATAGCACTATTTAAATCCTGCTAACTCTTCAGAACATCAGCAAAACCGAGACTGTTTTAAATAATTCTTTTTTTTTTGCATCAGGAGCAATTCACTGATGATCCTGCCCTTGGTTATACTGATGCTGGTATCACGTTTGTTATCCATTCACCCAAAGAGATGCCACGCTTTGATGGGTTAGGTTTATTAACACCAGTTGGCATGCATGCACAGGTCACGATTCAGCAACTGAAGGTAAGCACCTTGACCACTGAGTGACAATATCAGTGCTCACTGTCATTAATTCTCTTCTGAGACGCAGCAATTAATTAGATGCTTTGGAAGTTAAAATATGTCTCACGCCACAGTTAGCTTAAAGAATAAAATTTTCTCCAGTCATTAAGAAAAAACTGCTTTTGGTGAGATTGATGGTCTGCTTCATCTGTTTTTACTCAAGTTAGCATCCTGCAGTCTTACTGGTGCAATGATGCCTTTGCAGCTACAGCAGTAGCTGCCCATCAGCACTGTTCCAATAATACTAATTATTTATTGGAATCCTGGTACCCTCTTCTGGTGCAACTTGGGAAGACCACCCCACTGCCCTGGGCTGTCTGAACAGGTCCTGGTTTTGCTGTGTGAGAGTCGAGATGACTTTACAATTCCAAAAGCATAGACTGTAATTGCCTCTAATTAAATCATGTTACTGCTTTAAATCTCAAACATGCTGCTTTTAACACTTAAAAATATGGGAAAAATGTATCTATATTAAAAGGGACAAATGTTTATCTTCTGTTATCAATACCCTACAGTCAATCATTCAAGAATATCCATGGGGAGAGTGCAATCCTGATATCAAACTTCAGTACCAGGATACTTACAGCACTAACGGCTGTTTGCAGGAATGCAAGGCCTGGTACATACAGGATTGGTGCGGCTGTTCGCCTTTTATCCTTCCAGGTATCTCTTTGGACTATCATAATATTTAAATATTATATATATATATACACATATATACAAAGATTACCTTGCTAGGAGACACCTCACTACTGAATGGCGGAGGTGATCTCTGCAGGATAACTTCAGCTGAGATTGTTACTTATATTTGCCTTTTTTTTTTTTTTTAATTCTGAGATTACAAGCAAAGTATTTGGTCTACTGTGGACTTAGCATCTGATCATTAGCCAATTGTTATCTGAGTAATCTTCCATAAAGTCTGAAGTGTTTAGGAGCAGCTGGATTCCATCCGCCTCCTTTTTAAAATTGTTTTAATTTGTTTTTCTAATTCCAACACTACAACCAGAAATTCCTTGCCTTAGCTAGCCAACATAAAGACCAAGCCACAGCCTTAAAAGCAATCCTGACTGGAACACAACAGTGATGTTCACTCCACCAGGGAGCATCCTGGACTGGTCTTATGTTCTCTATCACAATGCACCATAATTGGTTTACTACCTGCATTGTGCTGGAGTGAATTGTTATCTCAGATGTATAATGAGAAGTGTGAAGTAGCACATAGTCTTTGATGACATTATTTTTTCAGAGCTAAGGGCTAGGTTGTTCAATTAAGTTCCTAAAAGAATGTTTCTTTTTAAGGAAATGGAATAGAATGTGATTTAATGAAGTCTTACAATTGTGTTTATCCTGCAATCCGTAAGTAATAATTTCATATCAATATTTTGTAAGCAAGTCCCAAATAGCAGAAAATACCCAAAATTATTGAAAGCAATACTGAAATAGAGCACATCCCAGTTCATTTAATATTCTGAAAATAGAGATCAGACGCAATAAGATGTTTGATGACTGATAAAAAAACTGAAAATCCTTGGATTTTAAGATACTATCATTTTATAAATAAAATGAATATGTTTTCACATGTAGCTCATTCCCATGACCAAATGAGCTGCACACAGCAGATATGGAATTTGTTAATCATTACAACAGATGATCATTAATGGTATTTTCCAGATAATCTGAGAAGTAACTTCTCATACATTTTAGAAATCCTCTTTTGTTTTGGGTGCAGCTATGCAATGTGAGCTCTCCCCCTTCTCAAAGAAGCTGATAATTAAGAGAGTGTATAAACTAACCAGTTATTCTGGGGGAAAGAATGCATCAAATCATCCCTAGCAGACCTAGATGCCTCCTTCCAGTAAGCAAAAACAAGTTCAGAGGCAGAGGAAAGACAACAGGCGCTGCAAACAGAGAACTATAGCACCCACCTCAAAAAGAGTAACTGTACTGCAGTTTATACTTCAGAAAGAGATTTTGCCCTTTTTTTTTTCTTTTTTTTTTTTTGCAGTTTCCTAAGTGCTAGTTACAGATATTTGTTGCTTCCAAAAAGCATCCAGTTTCCTAAGGATAACCAATACGAGTCTTTATAAAAATAAAAAATCAGTTAAAAGTCATTCTGTAAGGTTAAAAAAGTCTTAATGCTGAGTGCTCTTTTAGAAACGTGCAAGATATTTCTCCTGAATTTTCAGATGATATAGAGGTAAAAGGATTATGTACAGTAGGAACCCACAACTCCACTTGCCCTGCCCCATGTGAAGAAACACATTACCCTACCACTGTCACCTATTCAAGTTTTGGAGGAGAAAATGCCATTAAATACATTTCTGCAAAGCTGAAGAAGAGTCCAGAGTACATCAGGTAATCATTTTTAACAGCTTGCCTAATAAAAAAATGATCAATTCCTTTTAAGTGTGCAAACAGAGTGCACAATGTGATGCGACCTTTTAAAAACACACTCTTAAGTGTTATTAAAGATATGGTGAGATAATCAGTTTTGCCTAATAGATCATATTAGAATTGATATATTTTAGATAAATATGAATATGTAGATACAACTAAGACTCGTGGATCCCATAAACAGGTTACCCCAGTTTAAACAGTAATGTTCTCCGTTACTTTTTCCGATGATCTCTCACAAAATTAAAATTTTAGATAACTTTTCATAGTTAAGAATAAAGAAAGGGTAGGGTTATGAAACCCACGTACAGTCCACACAAGCAATCCATCCCACTGAAGTCAGTGGACAACTCACAACTGTGCTGATAAACTTCCTGCCCTTCCTCTCAACACATTAGCAAAAAAAGCTGTGAACGTACTGAAGAGCAAGGTTTTATCACAGCAAAAATGTTGGAAGCGTAATATTCTTTTCTACTGTTAGTAAAATTGCATTAATACCATTTAAATACTAAAAAAATATTTAGAAAATACTTGGCACTGTAATCTCTTGAAGTAGAAAAGCAGTGTGATTCTGTGTAGAAGAAAATTCTTCACAGAGGGAAAAAAAGTGGGACTATACCCAACGAAGAGATTTAGTGTGAAAATAAGTCTCTATGGTATTGACAACATATTTTATCCACGAAATTATGTTAGATCTTACATTATGCATGTAGCTGTAGTAGTAGTGCAGAGCTAGCATAATCTGAATACATTTAAATTCACAGAAGAAATATCATGTAACCTTATGATTTAATAAGGCATGTGTGCCTTACAGTTATAGTATAATAAAGTGATACTGAATTCCCTTGAAAAACAAGCATCATATACCCAATAGAAGGATTTCTATGTCGTGGGTTTTCTATGTCGTGGGTTTTGGTGTTTTTTTTTTTTTTGCTAGAAAGATACAATCCAGTTGCCAAAGAACATTTAGTATAGTTTCATAATCCAAATTACATCACAGAGGTACATCACCCATGTAGGTATTAATACTGATGTTACACAAACTCATAATATCACAGAGTCAAGTTATATACAACAGCAAAAAATCTGGCTAATGAAATATGAGTATTTCATTGTTTCAGTGACTTCAGGTTTGTCACTCGTAGAACCAACAGTCAGCAGATGCTTCCATACATTTTTACTTGGAGAGAAACTATATGAAGATTAGGAAAATGACACCCATTATAATACATAAAAGATAGTAATCCTTTGAGAACATTTTATCTTTGTTAACTATATTATTGCCTGTAAACATGATGTACGGCCCCACAATCATTTAATTAGGCAAGAAAAAATACAGAGCATTCTTCTGTTACCAAGCCCTAGCCAATAGGAATTCAGCCCAAGTATTAACAAGTACGTATTCTGAGCTATAAAACAGACCCTGATTAATTTCTGAAAACAGAAGGGAAAAGTTCACTGCTTACTACCTTATTGTACAGTGCCACTAGCAGCCCTATGACACTTGTAGGAGGACTTAGTTTTAAAAGCCATTGAAAAAGGATTATTTTCATTACTCAATGTTACCTAGATTTTAGGATTATCAACTAAAGGGCTGGAAGTCACTTCGTATAACCAATAGTGTTTCCAGTGAACATCAGATGAATAAGTTCATCACCATTTTCCACCTCCACGTCTGTAACTGTTCACACTTCTGAATAACATCCACTACATTTGTTCTAAAATGTCATGACATTACAAGTGCAAGTAGTTTTTGTGTCTGTTTTATTCCACTACTGTTATGTTTATCTTCTATTTAGCAGTTACACTGACTCTGTAGCCATGGCATCATAAAGATGAGCTCTTTATTCACATTGAATCATTCCACATGTCCTGCTCCAACAAAGAGTTACCCACTCTTCCACTTTTGCAGCAAGAATATAATTAGGTAAGAGAGGCTATTAGCAGAGGATAGAACTAGGCATCTGAATATAGGGCAAGAGATTTTTTGCACAAATACAGTCATTGAAATTATCAGGATTATATAGGCATTTGCACATAAACAAAAGCAAGAGACTGTATTTCCAAACACTGTCTCTGCTGTGGCTTCAGATGATTAACACTTCCACTCAAGCTTATCTCTGCAGACTTTAAGAAATAGGAGTTTATCCACAGTATAGATTCAGGCTGAGCTGCTCTTAATCTTCAGGCTATGTTTTAACTCCTCCAATGACCTCCTCTTACAACTATTACTGTTAGTACACTTTTTCAGTTTTTTTTTTTTTTAACTCATTTTTTTGTAATTCCCACCTGATTGTCCTTTAAAAGACACCATCACTCTGCATGAACTCAGTCCATACTGATGGATGTTGGTAAGCATGGACAGCAATCTCAAGTAATACTGCACGTATTTATCATTAGGCAGAACCTCGTGACTATTGACATTAAATATGACGATCTGAGCTACAGAATAACTCAGCAGCAGAAGGCCTTGACCATACCCGAGTTGCTTGGTAAGGGAATTTTTAACTTAATTTTTAAATTTATTGCTGATCAATTAAAAAAAATGTTAAAACATCTGTTTTTTTTAATTCTCTTCCCTCCCAAGTCCTAGACTATCCAGGTTTATAAATAAAAAACAATACCTTTTACACTATAATGATAATAATCATATTTGCTTTCTGTTTCTTTTCCATAGGCCTCCTGCCATACCATAAATAATAAGGAAAAGAGTTGAGAATAATAATTAAATCTTGCAGTAGTTTTCATTTAAACAACATGCTGAACTAACTGCAAGAGTAGGAAGTTTCTAGAATTCAGAGGAGAGGGGGAAAACTTGGGGAGATAAAGCAAGAGAATGGCTAAGAAAGCCCAGAAGTAGGAAATGCTTTAAGTACACATTCCACAGTAAAATATGTTGCTGTATGTGCTTTGTTTAAAATTAAGAAACGCATTTGTCTTTTTTTCCATAAACATTCTTAAGAACAGTAATTCTGTTTTCATAAGGTGATGGATTATGTATTTTGAATTTATTAAGCACTTGAACTGTGGCAAGGTTTTGTTTGCCTCCTAGACTAAACCAAACGCTTTGGATGACATGTTTATCTTCTTCTTTCACAGCTGATGTAGGTGGCCAGCTTGGATTGTTTTGTGGTGCCAGTATGATTACAATCATAGAACTGCTTGAGTATATTTTTACCAATTTCTTCTGGATGTGCCTCTTTCTTCTACTGAAAGCTCCTGAAATACCCCAGTGGAATAATCCATCCCACGACCAACCAACGCACGTGGAAAAAAAGAAGAGAATACAAGAATGTTAGCGGCTTGGAGAGGCACAAAATTAGTTGTATCTCCAACTTCCCTTCATCTCTAAAATATAAAGGAGACAATATTATCATCCATGGCACCCTTCCCTTGTACTCCTTTTTCTTCCTGTTGTTGTGCCTACAGCTATTTAACCGTGCTAGATAATTTTCATGAAAGAACTTTGGAAAGCCTCACTTTCCTCATATAAAGAAAAATCTAATATTTACCTAAGATTTTATTTTAAATTGCCATTTAAAAAGAATCATAGAAAAACCCTACAGACATTCAACGCAACTTTGCACTTCTGACTTATGTATTCTGGGTAAAGAGAAATAACACTCATGCCAAAGTATCACACCAGAAGTTCCCTAATCATCATAAAGATGTAGTATGCTGTGCTGGAAAAAAGCAGATTCCTTATTACTGACAAAGGCTTTGTTGTAAGGCTGGCTTCTTCCAAGAAAGGACAGCATAGCTTTGCCTATCAGAATCAGGAAGGTGCCTAATATCAATAACATCTACAGAAAATTGTTTGCCAGTAAATAAAAAAATAAAAATCTCATGAGTCTGCCAACTACTAGAAATGCAAAACTGAGAAACTTAGAGCACGCAGCTAGGTAGCAAGAAGATAAACATAGGCCAAGTTCACACTGTTGGACTCCAAAGATAGCAAACAAACTCGCTTTCCTTCTATTCTTCTTAATGAGCATTCACAACTGTAAAATATACAGCAGAACTATAATTTAATCACAGAAAAGATTCACTTGTTAAGGCAATGGAGGCAGTGACCTCACATTTTATAGGCTCTATTGACAGAGTTTATCACTGCTGGAGGCAATAAAACTTCAGGATGGCTCAGAGGAATGAGCAGCATAATTTCAATGTTAAATGGATAGAAAAGATGAAATGCTTAATTTAAATTCCACTGAAGAAAAAGGAAGAGTAAGAATTGTGTGGCTTCAGTGCTGAATCGTGCTTTCCATGTTTCATTGCTCTGGATTTTATATCTCTATTTTGTTGTGTTTCCCTGTGCACAATATTCATTTCCACACTCTTGGGTAGCAGACCAGAGTATCAAAGTACAAGGAAGAAAGCTGTATAATATATCAGACAGAATCTGTAATGAAAGTTTGTTTGGGGGGAGGCTGGAAATGCTTTGAGACTCGCGTCACATCTTCTGACAAGTTTCACTGGCCTATTTCCCTTTTTTTATTAAAAAAAAAACTACATTCACAAGATCACTGTTGCAATATGTGTTTCAGACATCTCTAAAGGAGTGACAGAAGGATTTATGCAAAGAGAAAAGGAATGATTTGGGCAAAATAACCCAGTAGCCAGGCATGGTTCTTGCTTATCTGGCAGACAAACAGGGCACAGAATGGCATGTAGTGGATCAGGCTTTGGAGCAGACTCTCACACATAGATTAGTTCATTGCAGTGCCTCACCAGCAGATGCCCCACTTACCGAAGGTTTCTCCTGCTCCTGCTCCTTCTCCTGCTCCTGCTGATAGCTCCTGCTATCAGGAGTTGCTGATGAATCTGATATTACCCAGCCTAAACTGAACAGCACTGTCTATGCAGTGTTTAGATTAATTTCTGAGATAAACAAACAAAAAAACACATCCATTTCCACTCTGCATTAAGATAAGCTAAACAGTGAATCTCTTAAGGAGCTTACACAAGCATACAGATCTACTGCTAATTAAGGGCAAAGAAGAATATCCTCAATCTTCACCAATTCCGAGCTGAATTACCAGATAAAAATTGCTGAAGTTTGAAAGTAGTCAGATGAGCCTACACACTAGTTCTAATGCAACGTTTTGCACTGTGCCTGGATCGAGTGCAGGTAGAACTTCAGGATAACAGTGCTCCCCACCTAAGTAATGCGCCATGGCAGCATGATACTAATTCTTGGTTTCTTATGGCTCCTTTACCTCACTGTTATGGGGTTGCTCTGTATTCTAGAAATTCAGAGATTGTCAAGCAATTCTAAGAACTCTGGACCAAATGGGTGCAATTATTTCCTCATGGTGGAATTCAGTTTCGCCTCCTACATCCTTCCATGTGACAGATGGCAGCAGAGGGGCAGTCTGACAAAACGGCATCTGACATGTCAACAACTTGTAGTAGGATATTAGTAGGAAGGTTCAACTTCTACCATACCACCACCATCCTCCTCTGCTGTTATGGGCTGACATGATAAAAATAGAAGGCATTACTTTTGGAGCAGTCCTGGTAGAGCTTGTTACTGTAACTGCATCCCAAGTTAAATGCATTCTCAAGCTAACAGCTGATGTGTCTATTAAACCTCACAATACAGGAAATATCTTTAAGCTCATACTTAGGAATTACTTTGCAATGCTGAAACATGAAAAGGATGTAAAGCATAAAACTCCAAACAGGATACTGCTATAGGGTAGCTATAGGAGTAGCACTACAGTTTGCTGATGCTGCTTCTGGTCCTGTTAACTATCCTGATCTGTATGTGCCTCCATCCACCAGAGGCTCACCTCAGCTAACTCCTCACTAGGAGCAAAATGACCACATGGCAAAGGGCAGCTTCCTCTGAAGTCCTGCATGGCCATTCTCACTCTACAAACCACCAGCATACTAGCAGAGGTTCCTTACCCACCTCCTGTCTCGGAACAGGGAGAGTAATGGCAATATTTACAGCCTTTTTTTTAGGATTAGAAGTTTTTTATACAAACTTTAGAGGATAAAGAAATCCACAGGTGGATCTTTGCAGTCTTAAATACTGAAGCCCTTTTGCCTCTAGAAAAACGTTATCAATTTGCTACATTAAGCCCGATCAAATGTGTGTTTACTTTTGCATTGCTAAACATAGAGTTTCCTTTTAAACAAGTGACCCTGAGATGCTTACCTTCAAAAGGCCCTGGATACACAGGGACCTCCAGCAAGATACCCTCACCTCCATTGCCTACTCTTAAATGAAGTCTGGGAATGCGTTGCATTGCAAGTGACCCTGAGCCTTAGGAAATTCCACATAGTTTTGGTACACTTCAGGGTCTTTCATGGAAGAGATTTTTAGCTCACTTTGTCAAAATAAGCAGAAGCTAACAATCACCATTCCACCTTCACAGGCACTTTCAATCTAGCCAGTTGTTTGAAGTCATGAACACCTAGATTTATATACACTGCATTCCCTGTAGGTCTCAAAGTAAGCATTGCATAGTTCTTTTATTGAGGGCTTAGAAAGTAGGTGTTCAGGGCAGGACTGATGATTACTATTACATATTACTCAAGTATCCCCCACATCTTTAAAGGCTTCATTTTAAACAGTGAGCCAAGCGGAGGTAAAAAATTAGGACCAGTAACACAAATAAAGACTTCCATAAACAAGCTGTAAATTACACAGGCTTCTCGGGGTTGCTTATGTGCCATAAAGCACGCAAAAAAGCATTCACTAAAAAACTTCAGTTCTCTTCTGTGGTCATTCAACTAAACCCATACGTTTCCCACAAGAACGACTCCATCCTTGATGCAATTTTGATTAGTGACACTCCCAATATCCTCAATTAAGAATTTAATACAAGCTCTTTTCTGGGTGTAGTCAAGAGGTTTTTGTAGCACCAGCTGCCAAAGAAAACACATCTACAAAGCCTACTACTACTGCTTCTGGCTATGAGAATGCACTCTGGAATATTTGCCTGTTGGCCACTTGGTCTGCTGTGCTTGTAACCTTTAATCAACCCTTATTTCTCAAGCATTAAAAATTGTTAAAGACTTGATCCAAAGTTCAATGGAAATTTTCCACCCTAGAAACACTAAACAACTTCAAGTCATGTCCACATGAATGCACAGTTCACCTATAGATTGTGCATGATTTAGTCTTGAAGACTTACATTGCACCTCGATTCTTTCTTGCAGTCTGAGTAAATTGAGTTTTCTTAGGTCATTTTAGTTCAAACTTCTGAGAAATGTATGAAGAAAGTCGTAAACAATGCCCCACCTGAAACAAACCAGATACAAGAAAACAAAACTATTTAACTAAAGAAACATCTCAGAACGTCTGCTTTAAGACTAATGGTAAGCTGCTGTTCACTGTTAAAACAAGAAAGTTTAGCAAACAGTGGAGAGACTTCTACAATTCCAAAAAAAATAAAATTGAGGGAAACAAAGTGACATCATGCAGTACAGGAACATATTCTTATGTGAGTGGAATTGCATCGAGCTGCTGGCCAGTCACAAGCAGGGCTCCCCAGTGCTTCATTTTGGGGCCAGTTCTCTCCAACATTTTATAGATGATTTGGATGCAGGACATAAATACACATTAGGTAAGTTTACAGATGATTCTAAATTAGGAGGAGTTGTTCGCTCCCTCTAGGGTAGAAAGGCGTGATAGCAAAATCCTGACAAATCAGAGAGCTGGGCAATCACCAACTGCGTGGAGTTACCACTTTCAACTCCGGATATTTTGTGATTCTGTGACTAATTTTCTGAAGTACTTCAAAAGTTGTGGGCGCTCAAAAGGTCCTGCACTCTTTGAAAACTGTCTTGTATCTCAACTCAAAGCACCAGATTCAAAGTGCTGAAGTGTTTTGGAATATCTCCTTAGACAGTCATACAGTCACAGCCTACCTTCATCTGTTTTCATATTATCCATTTGTTCCTGCATGCAAAGAAAGCTTGTATGCTCATGGGAGAAAATCCTCTGCAAGAACCAGAAACTCAGCACCTCACGTGTCTCCTTACATCTCCTTTGGTGAGGTCCTCATCACTCACAAAGCTGCACTCTGTCTCAGGACAAGGCAGATACATCCTATAAGCTGCCCAGACAATAAAAGGACTCTGTAACATGATGGAAAACACAGCAGAATAGCAAAGTCTTAGGCTGTAGCAAGTAAGGATTTGCTCAAATGCAATAGCCATAAGCACAGAAATAAAGGAAGGAAGGTGCTTACCTTCAGAAGGCCCTGGGTAAACAGAGACCTCCAGCAAGATACCCTCACCTCCATTGCCAACTCTTAAATGAAGTCTGGGATTGCATTGCATTGCACTGCATGCACCTGTGTTCCCCTGGGTTGGCCCTGCCTTCCCACCAGGTGCTCAACCACTGATTCAAGC